CCTTTCGAGGTAGCAGCAAAATCTAGAACGAACATCTAAAGCGCGGAATACCGTGTCTCTAATGCTTCTATTATTTAGGGTGCGCACAGCGGTCTACGGACTCACTCACACACACACACACACACACTCTCTCTCTCTCTTTCATCTGATCTCAGCCGGTTGGTGGTGCATTGCGCTGAAATTGCGCACAGTAAAAGGAACGTAAAGAATTGCACGCTCCGCCTACTGCCGACCCTGCGCTCTCACCCTCGCTACCCCTTTTCGTTCACCCCCGTCATCTCTCGCCTCCCTACGTCCCTTCTCCTCTACCAGGTAGCACCTACGCGCGTATAAATAGTGCAACGACGGCATGGTACATTTACAGAAGCGCGCCGCGGCATGTGTTTCGACCGCGACCTATTTTATCTTCAACCTTATCGCAACCAATGGAATTATAATTCCACCGCAGTGCTTAAGAACTTACTTTAAACTTTTCGATCGTGCTTGACAAAGTATTATTACATCAGGGATCGCAGATTCGATATGCCACACGATAAAGATAGGGGGAAAATGGCTATTCACTATCTACACCTTTTTATTTTAAAGACTTTAGTATAATTAATATACTTTTCAAAAAATGAGACACATTTTCTGCATCGCAGACTTTTTTTTTTACACTTATGAGCAATCATTTAAAGTGTGGCATCACAAGATGAAAATATAGAAAAAGAGAGCGATTACTTTGTCCGTAGTGGCAGCTTCAATCGCTTTTTCATTTTAATTTTATAGAAATATTTTAGAGAAGATATATACACACACTAATCTATGAATGTTTGTTTGTTTTTAATAGTTTCACTATTTAGTAATAAAAAAAATAATTCTGTAACGGTTACATATACATACATGCAAATACGCATAAATGCATACATATATGCGTATATTTCATACAAACTTATGGAGTTATAGAGTTCTTCCTGCATAGTGATTAGATATGATATAAAAATTGTTTTACATCAATGATTAAAAAAGTTCCTATCACAAATTTAAAATTGATCAACTGATTTAAAAAACTTTTATTTTAAAAATCAAATTCGAAATTTATAAATCTGTCGAAAATAAATATTTGAAATCAATAAAAATGTATTTATTTTCAAGAATTAAATATTTAAAGTTTTTATTTGGATTCTTTTTACGGACAAGATTTAAAGATATCGCGAATTTATACGCTTCTCGGTAATTTTCTGATGCAGTACTAAATTCTACAATCGACACTGCATTAGGCACGCACGATAGCCCTATTCTCTTCAGTAAAATTTTCCTAGGCAGTAGCATCGCGTCGCGAAGTAGGGGGAAATAATAAGCTTGATACACGCAGGTTTGTGAGACTCAACGGCGGCTTGCGCATCGACCGGCTACACAATGTGTTCCACATACACCTCGCGACTTTTATTCACGACTACCTTTTCTAATATGCCCTTCTCAATCGAGTACACAATATAGTGACAGGGCGCGTAATTTAGAGAGCGCCAAATTTCATACGGGCTGTGAAAAAAGTAAAGGAAAATTACTAATATTTGTAAAATTTTAAGAAATTGAGGCTGTTTTTTTTTTTGGTAGGGAGATCGTTTATTCAATAAAAAAAATCTTTATCTAGGTTTCATAAAAATTGACTGCGGGCTTTATTATACATATGAACAAAGTATAGAGTTTATCGCAGGTATAAGCGATCAGCCGTTCGTAGCGGTTGAACCGAAAAATCATTTACTTTATCGCGGATTTTTCAGTCGAGCTGTTTCGCGACGAGATTGATCATCGGTCGATCGCGTTCCGTATTTAAGCCGCGATTTACACGGTTTATGATCATCCCGAATGAATCATTCAAAGCAGCCGAACTTCAACAAACGACTTTTCTTGTAGAAGTGGCGTTAAACGTACACAAAATGTTAAAACCGTCACGTAATTTATTTAAATGCAACTGTTTCGCAAAATATATAAAATATTCAATAATATTTTAAGAGTATAAATGAGAATAAGCTAAAGATTCAATACAAGTCGAATCTACTTCTCTGCTCCTCTTAAAATCCAAAAATCTACATAAAAATATCAAGAGAGAACTGAGACTATATAAGTTATATCCCATAAATTATAAAAGAAATAATGCATGATTTATTTATATTATGCATGCATCAAAGTCCATTGACAAAATCAGCTGTATACAAAATTGTATGACTATATCCGCAGAATCTGGCGCAGTGTCCAATTTCAATCCATCAATCCTCGTCAAGGCATTTTATACACACTTGTGATACAATATTCAACATTTTAACACTATTTGATGAATATTTATCTCGGGACAAAATATGCAAACTTGCGTGCGTTAAAATAAAGATTTAAAGCGTACACAAAACAAAAATATCAATTTTATGTATACATATCGCGCGCGTGTGTATGTTTATTATATAAATAATATAATTTATTAAATGATAATAAATTTCATATATTTTAATAAATATACACATACATACACATAAAGGTAAACAATAAAATATTTTAATTAAAACTGCACTGAAAGAGAATTATACAAATAAACGTAAAGTATTTAAAAGATTAAAACAAGATAAAAGTAGCATATCAGTCGGTTTTAGAAAAATAATTCTAGAATATTCACTCCCATTCTTTCCATTGTTTGCACGATTACGTTTGTAATTAACATTATTGCAAACAGTTGAATTCTCGGTTGAATTATTAATCTCCACAGAAGAACAAGATAGTATTTAAGTAAATATAATAATGTAATAAAACGAAATACTTGTATGATAATCATTATAATATATATATATTGTTTTGTAAATTGCTTTTTACTGAGAATTACTTACACTATCAACTAATGATTCGTTAATTGCTAACAGAATTTCAACTGATAATGAGAGATTGTAAAGACATTCTAGGAAAGGAACATAAATCAACAAGAATAACTTCGTCTCGTGAGATAATAATATATCAATGACGAAAAAATAACTATTGGATGTTAACAAAAGAAACTTAGAAATATGTATATATAAAACAGATATATATTATAAATATTATATATTAAACAATTGAGAGAAGTATAATTTTCGCGGACTATAAACAAGATGATAAATATTCGCTTAATAAACATGCATATTTTGTGTCAAAGTAAATAGATAGATAAGGAAAGATGAATTGAATATATATATTGTGTGAAGAATGTTATTATAAAAATAAGAGAAAGTAAGAAAGACTCATCTCAGAAAAAGAAGAATTGTTTAATATTGATTCCGTCTATCCAAGCGAGATGAAAAGCAATGGTATTGCTATGTCTAACTATGAATTACAAAACGTGTTATTTATGTTCTAAAGTTTGTCTGACTGACCTCCAAATTTTCTATAGAGTGCTCTTACACACCTCTCTTGTTCCGTATGTATTATCTCTCAGTACAGTCTCTTTTTTCATATTTTTGTTTTGTTCTTTCCTTTACCATAATTTTTCCGATTATCAGATCACTGCTCGCAATCGGGGCAATTGTTTACCTTCCAAAATGTTGTCCCGATGTTTGGCCGAGTATGAGAATGAGATAAGAAACGAGCGATAGAACGATATTTTATAAAGTCAACTAATTTGGCTTTCGGCTTTAGATAAGATTTGAAATTTGCTTGTTCCAGGAATTGTGGATAGAATAACTTGTGATTTTATATAATCGCGACTTGTATATATATATATATATTATATATCATACAAAATTTTAGATAATATTCAGATTGAAATAATATATCTTAACCTTTAATAATTATAATTTGGATAAATGCTCAGTATAAAGATGTCTTCTCCGAATTTTTTCACACACAAATACATTTTATATATTATAGGACATTAGAATTTGCTCAAAAACAAATTGTTCAGTAATTTATTAATACGTTTAACAATGTTTTGAGCTATATTTGCACAAGTTAATATGAAGAGGCTATTTCAATATCAACATTTGCATTTATTTATTAACATATAATTTTTTTTCAAAAACTTGAAATTGTAATTTAAATGTGATGCAATTAATGATTCTGATAACATTGTATCATAATATAATTATAATCATAGCGATCACAGAATTCAATTGATTTCGTTTCTTTGGTACTCACCGTATTCCATGGCAATTATATTTGCATTACATCCTGATTCCATAAAAATAATTGCATACGATTCATCAGTACAGTAAATAAGCGCGGAGATCATCATCACATTTTTCGAGTTCCGATTCCGGTTTGGGACTGCATTCCGATTGCAAAAGTTTGCACTATATAAATCAAATATAGCCGTTATGACGTCATTCGAGCAATAATTCTCATTAAACGTGACAGTAATGTTATTTGTATATTGAATATAAACTTAAACATATATATATCGAATACAGAATGCGAATGTCATGCAATAATTGTCATCGCTAGTTATTAACAAATGCGTTACAATATTCATTAGATGATTTGTCACTTTCGATAATATTACAGATTGTGTGAGTAATGCGTTGTACGACACGAGTATGTGTGTGTGTGTGTGTGTGTGTGTTATGTATATGTGTGTGTGTGTGTGGAGAGAGAGAGAGAGAGAGAAAATCAAGAAAAGTTCAAACTAACCCTGGCGATAATCGAGATGGTATATATTGAGACTTATAACCTAATAAAATAGTAATATGTTGTCGTAACATTATTATGGCCATAGAGATTACAGAGATGAAATAATTCCGTCTTTCCTCGATACTCGCCATGCTCGATCGCATTTATATCTGCAACACAAGCCTCCAGATACCACAAGTGACGATAAACCGGCGCAAACGAGCGCGAAGACCATCACTTTTCGCCTCTTTCGATTCCGTTATGTGATCCGATTCCGAGATTCCGAGTTTGAACTGGGTATCCAACATGGCTGTCACGTGACGTCGCAGGCGAACTCGGAATCTCGGAATCGGATCACATAACAGAATCGGAAGTTGAGAAGTGTGGTGGTCTTCGCGCTCGTTTACACCGGTTTATCGTCAGTTTTGTATCTGGAGGCTTATATTGCAGATATATAATTGCGATCGAACATGACGAGTATCGAGGAAAGACGGAATTATTTCATCTCTGTAATCACTAATAACCATAATAATATGTTACGACAACATATTAATACGATGTTCTATAAGCCTCAATATATCATCTCGACTATCGTGGGGGTTAGTTTAAACTTTTGTTGATTCTCTCTCTCTCTCTCTCTCTCTCTCCCCCTCTCTCTCTCCCTCCCTTCCTCTCTCTCTCTTTCTCCCTCTCCCTCTCGCTCCCTCTTTCTCTCTCTCTCTCTCCCTCTCCCTCTCACACGCACACACATTCGTGTCGCACAATACATTACTCATACTTATTCTCTCTCTCTCTCTCTCCCTCTCCCTCTCGCTCCCTCTTTCTCTCTCTCTCTCTCTCTCTTTCTCTCTCCCTCTCACACGCACACACATTCCGCGCGCGCGTGTCGCACAATACATTACTCATACTTATAATATTATCGAATATGATAAATCATTTAATGAATATTGTAACGCATTTGTTAATAACTAGTGATAACAATTATTACGTGATATCTGTGTTCTGTGTTCATATATATATACACACATTTGTATTTAATATATACATATATTCGTCGTGTTAATGTGCGTTTAGTAAAAACTTACTCGAGTGAAGGGATTTGCGTTCGGATGACGTCACTATGACGATATTTGATTTGCAGAGTCTTGAAATCGGACCGTAGTACCATAACCCAGCAAACACAAAGTAACAGTAACATAACATTAATGTTATAATTTCCCACTCAACAATGTAACTGTTACGATACAAGGCGTGTTATATTGCAGTTACATTGTTGAGTGGGAAATTATAACATTGATGTTATATTACTGTTACTTTGTGTTTACTGGGAACGGAATCGGAAGTCGAGAGATGTGTGCATATTGTATTTATTTGGCAATAATTTCAAATTTTCAACAACGCATTCGGTTATTTATCAACGGTTCACTTGGTATGGTCCATTTGCAAGATGAAATATTACGTACATCAAAACGATATATAATATTGCGTTTTTCTGATGCAGGTGTTGCAGCTACGTATATATAAGCATCTGGGTGGTTTGCTCGTGCGATATTCGGCGACTCATTTCCGCGATGAGAAATTAAACATGACGCGTGTGAGCAGCTCTGCTCTTTGAACGTGAGTATTATTTAATTCATGCAGCTTTTCATTTGCGGAAAGCGTGTCAAAATTGGTCCGATGATACGTTGCGTTAAACGCATATCGCGATTAATGTATTCTATTCTCGTCTCAAAAAGACGTAGACGTAAGGGTTTTTTTTTCATATTGGCAACTTTGTTGACGAGTTTACAATGTTGAGATATGGCTTAGAGAATGGCGCGTGTCTCAGCGAACAACACGCACGCAATAATTGGAGAAACGCGTCAAAAGTTATGCCGACACGCTTCACGCAAATGTAACATGCAATTCTTTGATATTAGCCGATTGCTGTTGTAAACTGCCGTTTACATTTTCCTTTGTTTTGATATCTAAATAATATGTGAAAATATTTGCAATATGTTTTATGACGTATACAATGAAAAATATAAAAAATATCAGCATTTAAATATATCATGCAAATTCCTAAATAATACATATATGTGACAATTTAAAACCCATTAATTACAATATCTTGCAAAAAAAATAGTAATATTGTTTGAATCAAAAATACAAAGATAAATATATGTCACATTTAAAACACGAGATGTAGTTTTACTTCTATTTTTAAGTCTCATAAAATGTCAATGCTCATCTTAATTTCAAGATCGTAACATTATATTTTAAATGCCTTATAAAAGTGTAATAAAAATACACTTGACAATCACGTAATGCAATTAATAAATATTTAAAGTGCAATATTACAGATTTTATCGATTAGAGTAAAAATAATATTTTAATGAAATATTTGCAAAATAAATTAAAACTTATTAAGGTGTTGTTTTAATAAAAATGATTGTCTTATTTTAATATATTATTTTAATTATATCGCATGCAATAATAATCCGAAACGGTGCATTTCGCCGCATATATATATATATATATATATATATTTTTATATCTTATACATGATGTTTTATACAAAATATTTTTTTTTCTTATTAAATTTTGAGGCAATTGCATTGTTGTTTATCTTACGATATATTTGTATTATCTCATAGATTGTTGAACATTCTGAAATATTCAAATGTTTCTCCATGCGAGAAATGTTTATTTCATGGTAAGTAGCTACTGTGGAAACTTTTATACATCGGGTGCAATCATGTTGGTGCAGTTTTTGTGTTGCAGAGATAGATTAAATTTTATATTTTTATGCACGAAGCACCAATATGTGAATAAATGCAAGAAAAAATTGTTGTGTGTGTTTACTGATAATATGTACTTTTCTTGATATTTTTATTTTTTGATATACTTGATTTTTTTATTATGATTGGTTTATTTTTTTTTTATTTTGTAGCTGTATATAGCTTATATACATATGAATATTTTGAAATATAAGAATGATTATTGTATTGCGATACAACATTGTGATACAGCATTTATTAAATTATAAAAAATATCAAAATACGTATAGAAAAGTAAATATTAATCAAATGGCAAATATACGAAAATAATTTAATATAGTCTATAGTATCATTTGATTCAACTATTTCGCGAATCGCAGAAATATGTAGATTGTCTTAGCAATGTAAAATTTGAATATGCACATATTTCTAAAACAAAACAAGATGCAATCACTGTGAGAGAGCTGTATACAACATTAGAATCCAAAGTAGAAAAGCGCGTTGGACGAAGTAACTGGGAAAAAATGAGCTCTTTATTTAAGCTCTCTTCCTAGATTTTCCATTTTCATATGTCACACGGTAAAATGCTGACCTACTCGTGAGTTCGGTTCTGGCGCTAATTAATACCGTAGATATGACCACTTGATACGTTAAAAAAAACGGGAACAATACTCTGCATAATTCGTCAAGCAATTTTATCCAGAAAATATAGAACTGAAGTCTGTAATTTATGTTTGTGTATATTATGATACATTTAATATTAGATAATCTTTTGCACATGTTTTTAAAAATAAGAAAAAAATTTTGTTAAAAGGTCAAACGTGATGTAGTCGGAAATAACATACATAACACGTAAATGACATAAGCAAAATTGACCATTTGCAATTTTAAAACATCATAATACACATGAAATAGTTTATATATTAAGTATCAAAATTAATGCATTTTATAATTGTTGCATATATCATAACTCTTAAAAATCATATGATACATAATATACAATAAAAACGTATGACAGATTTTAGATTTTGCAAAATTTTTATATATATTGAAAGATATGATAATATTGTTTCTATTGAATCATTTTAACAGAACATGACTAAGTGACCTTACATTGCGAGTTTCTACCGTGTGTAAAGCTATACGTTTTATTGAATATCATAGCGCAATAAAATTGAATTTGTTTTATTAAATTCACCATCTCCAAAGACATCTCATAAAATATATCAAAAAATGTCCTAAAGCTTTCAGAAATATCATTTTATTTTAAGACTTCAATATTCCATTCTCTTAAAAAAAAATTTACATTTAAAAAGTTTCCTCGATATAAGTAATATAATTCTCTTTTCTACTTAGTTTTCTATTATAGAATTCTATGTAACAGTATTTTTTATTGCAATAATGCAATAACTGTGGCATATGACATTTGATAGCCAATTGATCAAATGTAACGATCGATAATTTCACACTAATTTTCCATAGTTTTCACACTAGTTTTCCATAATTATTCCAGTACCAAAATCTTTTAATAAATAAGTTTAAAAAAAACATACAATTGTTTATATGGACATGCATAATAAGGATAGCGATATATTCATATCGCTACTCACACTCGTCGGTCACAACCATTAGCTTCTCAATCGTTACATAATAATAGTCTCATATGTCTGATTACAAGACGATATTAACTACTGTGCGTTGGCGGTGCGGACGTCTTTTCCACTGCGCAGTAGAATGACAGGATTATCGGTCGTAACGTAAATCTGCCGAAGAAAATTACATAGATGCTGTGTAAAAGCCACCTGTAAATGCACTTGTACATTGCTGCGAAACCATATACCAACGAAAATCGAAAGTCCTTGTCTGCTTTCATGCGTAATCTCGTAGCATATAAAACAGTTAAAGTCGCGGAAGTATTTATTGCTATATGAAATAGCATCGTGTCAAGTAGATTGTTGATAAAGCTATAGTCGCTTTATGTCGCGACAAAATGAATAAAACTGCATGGACATTGTTCAATGCTATTCAATGCAGTGCATGCATTTTTCAGCTGTTTACATAGATCCATATAATTTTTTTATATTTTTAATGAAAATTGAAAGAGAGAGAGAGGGGGGAGGGAGAGGGAGAGGGAGAATTAGAGCCACTTTTGACTCTTCAGTTCATGAAAGTTAATCTTACTATATTTATTGATTGTTTATCTATTTCTTTGTCGCGCTCGCGTTAAATTCATTTATATAAAATACTACTATATAATGCAATGTACGTTCTCTTTAAACTAATGGCCGTTAAATTGTGTCGTCAACTATATGCCAACTACATCAAGAGTGTCTCAGGTCAAGAACTTTCGAAGTTTACGCGTTAATTATTAAATCGCTTTCAATAATTTAAGATGCTCCTACATGTTTCTAGCAAATAGAGGACTAATAGTTTGATACTTCACATATGTGCTTCTAACATTGAGAATTCTTTGGCGGTCATCCAATCCACCAAATTCACAACATAGTTGACTTGGTCAGTGACTGGATTAATTTAATTACACATGTTGTAATATCCTAAATTAAAAGTGAAATTTTATTTTCCGCCTTTTTGTGTTATCGCATTTTTTTATGACTAGCACATTTATTGACTCAATAAAAATGCTCTCTATCTCTCTATTATTATTGTTATTAAAAGATTAATAAAATGTATCAATTATCAATATTTAAAATAGATAAACAGTTACAATTACAAATGCGAAATTATAATTTTTTTTTTCTAAATGCAATTTACATTGAAGCATATTTTACTCTTTCTCTTTGAACTATTTATTTTATATTTACGTAAACGTCGCGTATGTACATATATGCCACAAAACTTATCGTAAATAAATCAAAACTTTTCCAATGGTTGTTGTAAGTAGGTTCTACATTGTTATATTTCAAAGCCACACATTGAGTCAGGTTATTTCTAGAATTCAATATATCAAATATTCCGCTCATAATTTATTCGGATTTATTTTCGGCCTTTATATTATTATCTTAATACCTAGAGATCTTATCGCATATAAATTTTAAATGGAAACAAAAGAAAAATAAATATACGAGTTTGATTACCACAATTGTTCGAGAATCGTCATTATAGTTCAATGATTTGAAATTTGAAAAATATAATCTAATTATTATTAAACATATATTTTCACATATTATTTTTTCGCGCCTTACGTCGTAAAAATTATGCCGACGTGAATTTGTCCTCGTAATTTGAAAAGCGTGTATCGCGATCAAACGTGTACACAGATTGGATTTTACGGATCACGCCTAATTATTAACATAAACATGAGTTATTATGATAATTCAGAATATCGAGGAAACGAGATGATTGAAATCGCATTTGCGATCCCTGTCGTCCCGATCCCTATTGTCTCCCTTAGTTTTCTGCGATATTGAAAATCTTTTCGACAGGAAATTGCTCTATAAAAGGAAGCGACATGAATTTATTAGAGATCGTGCTCTTTATTTTTGCTTCACAAAGTGAAATATTCAATGTCTTCTGTGCGGATCGAATCGACACCAAAAACCCATCGAGGAGAATTTATGCCGAGGCCATAAGTTAATAACGGGATGTCGGTTCCCGTCCACGATAGGCTAATAAAAAAAAAAAAAAATACTTTTTGCAAACCTCATAAATTTGCTCGCATATAACTAAATTATTGGTCATATAATTTATAACATCCCAAATATTCAAGACATTGTACCGTCTCTTTCGATAAGATATTATTAATGGTGTCTCATACGATAAGAATGTTATTAATGAAAGTTATTTTTCAGAATTTATATAGAGGAAAACATAAATATTATTTGTATCATTTATGTTGTGTATAAATTATAATAATGCTTATATAATTTATATATTGATAACAACAATGTTGTATAACGGAAGAGTGATCATTAGAAAAATTATTATTAATCACATTTGTATAATTATATCGTATTATACACGTTATTTCAATGAATAACATTTTTATACTGTTGGACACCATCGAGATAGATCAAGCACAGATTGATAAATATAAATAAATATGTATATTTCATTTCGGGGGTTGAAACCTTTCAATATGCGACTAGTATAAATTCAATAACGGAAAATTCAATTTTGGTACATTGAGATCACACGTTTGTTTCTATTTATTTTTGCGATAAATATAAACTGAATGTAAAATAAACGTAAAATACAATTTTGTGCACATAAAATGCAGATTTATAATTGATGTTCGTCTGTCTATCAGACATTCATCACCATTGATAAACTTTGTTTTCTTATATTATAATCCATAACAAACTTTATGCGATGCACAAAATATCATTGATAGTTTTAATATCATATTATCCTTTTGAAAATATCAAATCTTTATACGCGCAAGAATCCTGTGCGATTCTTTAATAGAAAGTTATACTTTTTGCAACTACAATCATGTGATCAATCTGAGATTAATACCACCATCTGATGCAGAATATTGGTCGCATCAAAGTCGGTTGGAAACTTAAAATGAGCATCGATTTTAACAATACTCTGTAAAAGTACGCGCGGATTCTCTCTATATTCCAGATGTATATTCCTTATAGTTTCTGCAGTACGGATGCAAAAGTTTGCTGTCTCGCATATACAAAAGCAGGAGCTTTATAACAAATCCACCACCATGCCTTGATTGCTCCTTGTAGCATCGAGATGTTTCCAACCTTGGTTACGATGCCACAAACCACGTGCAAACTAACTGTTTAGATGTGAAATTATATAATCCTAATAAACTATTGCCACGCATCCATGTATTTAATGCTAGAAATAAATTAACACATGTTTAAATTTTTGCGCGAAATATTTTTCGAATCAATTAAAATTCTAATTTATTTAATTTATTTATCATTATATAGAGTAAGTCTGTCGCTATGTAATAAAATGTAAATAGTTGCGTTATAAATTAAACCCTGTGCAATCTTGATAGCAGCGTGACATATACGGCTCTCCACCGAGAGCCGTCAGCCAGCAAGCTTTATGCTATCAGTTCTATTCTTCAATCGCCTTTAGACTTCTCTCTTTTCGTATTTTGTCTAGTTTTTCTCGCAAACTTCTCATTAAAATTACTCTAACGGTATTTAAACGTTATACACGTTTATTATATAAATGGGGGAAAAAGGTTAGTTGCACGATATTTTTACATATTATATCTGTGTTTCAAAGAGAGAACATCGGAAAAATTTCAAAACGTTGTGCCGATTATTCTTTCATATACTCGAAAAGATTCTGAAATCTTTTGATTTTCCTGGCTAGAATGTTATATTTTGACCTCTACATTTGAAGAGATAATCTTTTGCGACGTACCGATTCTTCTTTTGCACGCTTGGAAAGGTTCTGAAATCTTTGGGTTTTCTTGACTAAAATGTTACATCTCGGCTTCTATATTTTGAGAGGAAACTTTTTCTGACGATAGCGCATGCTTTTCTTCAAGTTCCGCTGTCTCTTGGCCGCTCTTTTATCTTGGCGGTCATCTCGGCGCGGATATATCGTTATAACCCTCCGTCATCTACGCGCGAAATGGTTCCTCTGTTATTCCATTGTGAGAAGATTTCCAATTGTCAAAGACAAATTACAAAAGTTTCCTTTTTTCAGAGTAATACGAAGAAAGAATTTATTTTTTGTTTAACCGCGTAATTTTTTTAAGTAACCATTACTTTACTGGAAAGTGTTCAAAGAGTTCGGAATATATATTTTATCTAGTTTTTTCCTTTAATATCGATAGCGAATAGCAATATAGTATCTCTGAATCTGCAGGAAATTGAAACGTTATTTATGCAAAAAACTGCATACCAGCATCATATTAAATTAACATTCTGCATCTGATACCTCAATAAGGTGACACATTATCCTTGACGTCCAACGAAAAGTCCGAGTATGAAATACTTCGAAAGCTATGAAAATTGTTCGATAAAATTCTGCACGTTCTCCATACAGTGTACGTTTAAATTTTTCTCTTGATAAGATAAGAACCCCCAGGGATAACGAAAAATAATCGGGAACAAGAATAATTAAAAGAAATCCGACGTGCCTTTATGACCCACATAATCTCCCGCAAGGATTTCTTATTTGAGAACAAGTCACGAATAGAGTCGCGATCGATTTTTAATATAAATAGATGTGTAGTGCACACATACATATAATATATACATGTGAACTTGCCTAATTTTTTCGTCGCCCTTCGTCTCTTTTCTCACCGTCTTTTTTTCGCTCACTCCATATTTATGAGGAGATTTGCCCGTTCTTTCTCTCTCTCTCTCTCTCTCTTTCTTTCTCTGCATCCCTTTCTCTTTTAGTCATTTTACTTTTTCCATTTTGCCGATCTGTCATGGCCCGTCCTCTCTTTCGAACTCTCTTTCAAACTCTTCTTTCCGTCTCTGTTTTAAGCCCCTTTCGTATGTTCTGTGCATACACATCTCCGAATCTATCCTTTTCTTTCCTTTTTTCTCATTTCTTTTTTGTTATCATCACCTTTCTTCGTCATTTTTGTTCCACTCGTTTTACCGAGCGGGGCATTTATTTACAGAAACAAAAATCGCGCGCGTTCGACCGATATTTGCTTTTGCCTGTCAGCAACATTCGACGATATAAAGTGGAAATACACATCCGTCGAAATTGTATCGCAGCGCGGCGTCGCGTTATAACGATCCTCGGTTGCGTGGTCCTTTAACATTTTTCTTTGTAGATTTAAGATAACTATGATAAGCTCTAGCAACTTTGAAATTGAACTTTCTGATTTCGTCTCGATATGCAAGCTACTTTTTTATCTAAAGGAATTAACGCAGTGCGAGCCAGTCATTATAGTACTTATAAATATTATGTCTTAATGACTGCTTTCTTCAATAACGATTAATTCTATTAACAAGTTAATTATTTTTATTTTTCAATTTATACATTATAATATATATTATATACTATATATTATACATTTAAATATAATATACATAAAAAATACAATATATATTACATTATATTATATAATACACATATATAATGCGTATTATGTGTTAGACAATTCAAGAAGAAAGCAGTTATTTCTTAAATAATGTTATCTGGTACTGAATCAAAGATGTAAAAATAAGAACGCAGAAAATATAAAAATATACGATCGAAATCATGAACTCACCTCATCGTAGATGAAATTGTCGATTTCCTCCAATGGCCTGCCATAGAACTTAGTCGGAAATGGTTCAAATTTATTTGGCAGTACGGCACCATCTTCCACCGACATTTTTCTCTTAGGTTGAAAGCCATATTCGCGCACTAATTGCACAGTCTTGTTTTCCCACCTATCGAGACTCTCCTTCGTGAATGGCTTTACTGTTTGCTTGCCGCCCTTGGTGCCGGGTGTCCTCGCGACTGGCGACTTGTCCTCGATCTTGGACACGCTAGAATCGAGAACGTCATCCGATGTAGCTTGAGGGGTCACGACATCCGCCTGGATCTCTGCACTTCCGGAATCTCCGGTACCGGAATCGGCGGAAGTCCCGGCGGTTCCGGCCAATGGCGGACGCAGTCTCGTGCTGTCTTGCATTCTGGAGCCGACTCTCTTAATCGGTGGGGATTCGCTTTTCTTAGACTCTGGAGAAATTGGTTTTTCTGTCACCGGAGATGTTCGCGATGGACTCGAAATTTCCTTTGCTCCGCCAATGTTCATTTTCTTGAAAATGTCCTGGTTTTCTTCTGCCGGTGAACTTGGATGTTTGTATGGCTCACGTTCCTTGTCGCCGTTCCGATAAGCTCTCGTCGTAGTCTTAGGGCGAATCTTGGCCGCCTGCGATTCCTCGTACTCGGTGTATTCAGGCGGACTTAGGCCCGCGTACGACGGCGGCGATCGATCAACCGACGGCGGCGATCGCTCGACCGACTTCGACGATCGTTGATCTTTGTCGGGTCCTCTCGTGGAAGGAACACGGGGCGAAAGTCCTTCGGAGTACCTCGAGCCTTCTCCGAAGCGACGTGGCCGAGACTCCTCGTCAATGATTTGCACATTGATGGAACTTTGTCTGGAAGACAAAGATATGCCGGGCCGTACGAACTGCTCTTTCCAACCGACAGGAAACTCGGAGGACCCTCGAGCGGATCTCTCCGGCGAAGCCTGCCCCGGACGATCCTCCAGTCGCCTCGGCCAACTTCTTTCCATCGGAAGCGAGCCATGATGGTCTCTCCGCACTAAGTTCTCACTGAATTCCCGATGTCTGACTCTGACACCGGATCTTCTGAATGGCTGAGGTGTCCTGGAGATTGCTCCTCTGATATAATCCTGACCGTCAAAGTCTCTGCTGCTGCCTGGGAGATTAAGACTTCTCTGACTACCGCTGTCTCTAGGTCGATCGTTCGGATTTCCCGTTGGCCCGTAGATACCCTCCTTTGCCAATTCATCCAATTCTTCTCTACTCAGATTTTTTACGTAGAGTCCGACCACTCGAGGTCGGTTCGTGAAACCATTGTCCTCCGAACCGCTGCTCGGAGGGCTGGGAGGACTTTTATACCCCTCGCTCCCGCCCCGCCGAGATGTCATTGGGACCTATGCTCGATCATCCCTTTCGATCCTGTACCACTTTCGTCGATCTCATGTTATCGCTAAATTGTCTCGATTCGATCTCTGCTAATCGATATCCGTCACGTTGTTGTCGATGAATTAGTCAGCAGAATTTGGAAATATAAAAGAATTATAATGCGAGCAGTTTCCCCCCGATTTCTCTCTTCTTATTTCGTCTCGAAATCGATTTTTGACAAAGTTTCAATCATTACGATTGCATCTGATATATTTCGGAACACCGGGATCGATTTCTGTAGTAATAGTAGTATTTTTTAAATTATACTTTACGTTGCGCACATTCGAACACATTTTTGTCAATTAAAACACTCGTGAAATCTCCATTCAAAATTGATTTAAATACAGAAATCGTACTTCTTTGTTTGGGAGGGGGACATTAAAAATTTCGCGATCCAAGATCAAAAGTTCACAGTACAAAAGAGAGCAGCCGTGGACGCGGTTAATGATGTTGATGCACTATGCTGCAAAATTACACCGTGCAACGGTTTGTCTTCTCAATATTTTAAAATGACTTACTGGAAATGAATTGCAGATAGATAAAAGATCCGATAAATTTGCTATATATATATATTGACAGTCTCAATAGCGAAGAATGTTGATAAGTGTTCGCGCGTGATGGATGATGATAGGGACTTTTCGCAATCCGTTTTCGCACTTTCAAAGTTTGCGCCGATTTCACTTGTCGGTAATTTTTGTTGCGTATAACGGATTACGACGGTGGTTACGCCGTATTGCGGATTCGTGAGACACACAGGGTGAAACTTGTAAAGACCAGATTTAACGTGCTTTCTCCGTGTCAACGACGAACCTCTTGAAATCTCGAAAAGCTTTCGATCGCAAGTCTCCTCGAGTTATATCGCCATTGCAATTCTCGGTTGAGCTTAGCTTCACCGTATTGTCGAAAGCGGTTTACACATACTCGCGCTGTGAAGTATACTCTTCGTGTCGTGTCGTGTCGTGTCGTGACTTTAAGAGGTCAAGGAGTTCGTACCTGTGTGATGCACATAGTTCATTCTGAATGTCAGCGACTAACCGAGTGCCATAGTAATGCCTGCTATAAGCATCGACCGATCGCGCTAATAGCTCTGGAATTTCGATTCGTTTTGCCGATGACAGTCAACTGGATAAATTTCATTATAAATTGTATATGCTTACGGTATCGCGAATAAAAATCGACCACGTGATTCCTCGCGACTCACCGTCATCGATCATCAACTGGGTCACTGAGGCGCGTGAAATTATCGTGTGAATCGCTGATAGCGCGTATTATAGCTGATGCAAATCCGCCGAAGGAAACTCGCGATGGATACTGGATCGATGACTCGATCAATAATAAATAATTTAAAACGCGGAAACGTACATTTGTTCCTTCGTCGATCGCGGGCTTTTGTTGTTTACCGTTTCGCGAGGATAAGCTTTTATAGATAAATACATGTCTCGGAAATGCAACAACGGTGTCACGAAGCGTCGCAGTCTCCCGGTCGATCACCCTGACCCTCTCAACGTTTATAGCTCGCGCTCCAAACCGGAATCACGTGAATGACATGTAGAAGATCCTGAAGACAAATTATCGGCGATATGGTCAGAACGCGATTAGCCGTACTGTTTGTTGAGATACACACTGGCGGGAAAGGCGCGTCCGCCTACACTCAATCGCGAACAGCGTGGTCGCCTCGTATCAACCCGCCACTATCATCATCACTAGCACCCACATCACCACGAGGCATCGAGACGAGATCGAAACGGCCGAGGCTCGTATCCCCCAGTCACCACTCACTCGTCATTTATCACCGTATTATCCGGCGAGGTACAGCGGTCGTTGCGATACGAATGGTACGGCCGAGCGGAGGAGAGAAAAGTTGAAAGCGAGAAGGAGAGAAGACGTTGGAACGGGAGCGCGAGAGGAAAGGCGAGAATGGTGCGAGAGAGAGAGAAAGAAAGAAAGAATGACAGACAGAGAGAGAAAGAAAGAGACAGAAAGAAAGAGAAAGAGAGAGAGAGAGAGAGAGAAAGATAGAGAAAACCGTGGTGCACCCTCGTCGTATAGTTCGGTAAATTCTGTTCGAGCGGGGGTGCAAAATCACGGGCGTCTCTTACGAGAGCTGTGGCGGCACTGTCGGCACTGAACCCCACCGGTATCCTGTACGCGCGCGCGCGTATCGAACCGAGCCGAGCCGGAGAACGCCGGCCGCACGGAATCTCCGTCGACGTGGCTACGTATACACGTAGCTACGGAGCCTCAGGGCTCACACACACGCGCACATACACACACACACACACACACACACACACATGCATAGCGAAGGGTGACGGGGTACGGTCGGAGAACGCTGCTGCCGGTGGTGGTGATGGTCGCGGGGGGTACCGCGTACCTGCACGAACACCCACTGCTGCTGACGCCAACCCCCACCTCCACCCCCACAGCGAACGAGCGCAGTCAACCCCCCCTGCGGGTGGTGGCGTTGATGGTGGCGATGGAGATAGTGGTGGTGATGGTGATGGTTGGATGGTTGGATGGTTGGTAGTGTAGGCAAACAGGATACGGCAAACAGGCGGACCGGCCGGGCGAACCGGTACCCCCAGGTTCCATGGGACACGCGCTGTAATTAATCCGCCAATCGACACCAGATTCCGCCGGATGCGAGAGCGAGTTAACGCGCGAACAGCGAAACAGCCTTTCCGCGAGCGCGCGTAAATTTCCGTCCTTGCGCGATTATCGGTCTCGCGTCACGATGATTTAACAACACGGCCACCTCGCTGCCGTCTCTCATCCGGATTTCAATTTAATGAGATGCGGCGGGATCGCAAATGCGGTTGAGGGCTTATTATCGTACTTTTGCTTTGGCAGTTTTTTTTCTTCATGGAAATTTAAATCTGAGATTCCATCGTCTGTATATTACCTCCGATGTGATTATCTTTTTGTGTTATATACTATCATCAGGGAAGGATGACAAATTTCTGTATGATAAATTATAGAAATCGATTCTTTGAGAATAAGAATCTTGATCGGTTTGTCGATTATTTTTTCTTAGCGCAAATTTTACTAGAGATCTCATTACAGATAATGAATAAATACAAGAAGCTGTCATTTCGTGACATTATATGGATTTCCTATCGGATATATGTATGAGTATCGATATAATTATCGATAAATGTATAAATTTGGATTAATCTCGAAATAGTACTTACTGGGGAGAAGTTTAAGCAATGTTATAAATTGAGCAAATCGAGAAACGTTTTATTTTTTCAACGTACTGTTTCGATATAACAAATTTCCCGATAAAGTGAAAATCAGTAATAGGAGTGATCAATTAGCATTAATATAATTATATCTCAGTGGAGATTAATTAATTATATATTAAATGAAGCAAGGTATATCTTATTACTTTGTAGCAATGTGATAATATCATCTATCTGTGACGAACACTTTTATATATTGCAAAATAATTAATGGAATGTAAAAATTATAGCAATAAAGATATGAAATTCGATTTAGGAAATTAGGAAAAGAAACTTGGTAGAAATTTAAGCAGACATATATAATTATCGCTAATTAGTAAATAAAATTAAATATTTTAACCAATTAAGCGCTTAAAGTGTAAATAAGTAACAAAATCTTGTTTTCTAATTAACATCCCTCCAGTTGGTATTGCTTTAATAAAAATATAATTTAAAACTAAATTAATAATATCAGATATTGTGAAAATTTTAAAATTATGATAATGAACTTACACACACACACACATCCAAATTTGTTCAGAAAATATATTTTCTCCATATGTTAACGGTGACTCAGCAGTTAGTGCTGTAAGTAGTAAGCAATTTGTTAGAATTAATCTTATGAAGAACGGAGGAATATAAACGATTCTGCCTGCTTGATTTCCTTCCGCCTTTACGGAAATTACACTATTTCTCTCCTCTATTATATGATTATGCCACCTGAATTAAAGTGGAGATAATCGGCCCGCGACGTTACGTGATATCCGAGAAATATAAATTTGGTGACTAAAATGACATGAAATTTAATAGATGAAATATGACCTGTACGTAGAGGAAATCTCTTAAACGCGCTTAGATAATACTTGAGACGCTATTTTTCACCGGCTACCATCTTTTAAGTTCGACGTGATTTTTCCATTTAACAGAATTACCGTTATTCAACTATTGTAATTTAACGGCGAAAAGAACTGAATATTTGTTGCAAGTAAAATGATTACCGTAACGTCAATGATGTTGTTTGTTTCGTCATCTACACATTGAATAAGTCATACAGATAATGCGTATAATTAATTATAGAGCTAAGTGATCTGTTTTATTTTTGTAGTGAGCAATGTTAATAATACTCGCGATTCGTAGAGTTTTGAATGTCCACGGCTTTTGCGGACTGTGGATTACAAAACTTATTGGATAGTACATTACCCTCGAAAAATATCCGGACGTACATTCCCACGAGTATAAGATACTTTCTCTTGTAGTGTGCAAGCAATCTTGCAATAAGTTCTCTCTCGAAGAACTCTAGGGTCAAGTGGGGTAATTGAAATTGGGTCGGATAAGAAGCGCGCGATTTCAATAATATTTACTGTGAATACTCATTAAAATTTATTGAATTAATAAAATATTTCAAACATTCAATAGCGAAACAAATTTTCAATCATTGAAAAAGAATTATAACTAATAATTGTAGTATCCAAATGTTTATGTTTCGCAGTTTTCGAAAACAAAAATTAAATATGTTTTCAAACTAAGTGAAATAATAGAAAAACATAGTATTGTTGTAAACTGCAGTTATTAACTCTCTCACATAATTCCAATAATAATTATAATCATTCTCATGCTATGTGAAGGTTATTTACTTATCATAAAATTTTAATTAAAAAAAAAGAGACAAATTCATTAATTTCCCTGATGAATATTTCGATTTGTATCAAAGATATTTTAAAACACCAGTCTATTTTTATTTCCATTTACAGGAACGAATTATTATACATATTTTTAACGATATATTCTCTTATCGTATTTTTTCTAAAATAAAAATAATTGTAATATTCTGAAGATGTAGTTTATTTTTATTGGTATTATTCTTGCGAAATGAATTTCACAGAATATCTCAGTTTCCTCTTGATAACGGAAGATTATTCGGTCACGTTTGAATATGCATCTAAATGCATAGTTTTTACCTTGCCGGCATGATGTCTTGTAATATTTCTTATAAGCTAAGCTACTGATGTCGGATAAGGCACAGTGTAATGCATCGCCTCTGCGACGGACGTATAACTAGCGCTGTTTTCTATTCGTGTGGTTATAACGGCCGTAAATTGTAAAACATATCTTGTCCTTGATTTAGTATTCAAAGGAATTCAGATCGAGGACATGGAACGCGCGTTTATGAATACAGAATATCACAGAACAAACAATTTTTCGATTAAACACGATATAAACGTCTCTAAATGCCGCGATGATTTCCATTTGTCATCTTAATTAGATGCTCGAACTAACCTTGCAAAGAATTAATTACCAGGTAAAAATTTTTTTAAGTATATATATAATCGAGAGTTTTATTAAACTAAGATTTTTTCAACAAAAATAGCAAGAGAAACGTGATAACATAGGCGAAAAATGCATACATACATGATATAAATTATATTTTGAGAAGACAAAAGACATATTCTGAGAGAATTTATTGGACAATTTATCTTTGATATTCAAGAAAAAAAAAGTATTTAAAGTATTCTTTCGAGAATTAAGACATTCATTAAAAAATTGCGGATATATAAAAGGGCTTCGACAAATTATTATATTATACTTTTTTAATAGATATATTACGATATAATAGAAGCGTTTTTATAACAACAATTAAAAGCTTGTCGTTAAGGAAATAGGGAATGCACCGGATATTACTTTCCGTATATATTCTTACCTGTTCAACCATTCTTGCAACGCATGATTACAACTTCTCTTTCATCCGCATATCCCCTCGCACCATAATGGTCTTTAGAGAGAGAGCAAAACGGGACGACGAAACTCCCCACAATGTGGGGCGTCATCAGCGAGACTTATGAAGGATAAGTTGTTCAAACCTCCGGAAACCGAGTTCTACTTAGGGTTTATAGCGTCGTGCGCCAAAGTTCTCATCTTTCCATGAGTGCTGATGCCTACTTATTTATACCTTCATGAGAAATTTCATATTTATCTTATTGTTAGTAGGATACGTCGGTTAGTCCTTCGTATTAGCACAGAATTATTACCATTATATTTTTTTATCGATTATTGCACGAGGACTATATATATTTATATTATAGGATATTTACATATTGTCAAAGATATTATATAAAATATCAGATTCATTAAGTGTATCCTAAAGAATAGGACGAGTTTACTCGTAAACTGAAATAATCATTTTTCTATTGAAATTTAATTAGACTCTTGGTCTCTTTTCATATAATCTTTGAAATTTAAACATTAAATATCTTAGTAAACATCATGTGTTATATTAAGATTTTGTTACAATAAAATTCAGAGAATCAGGACTTTATTTAAAAATCAGAATTTCAATATAATCATCCTTAATGCTAAAAATTAAATTAATAAATTAAAAAGGAAATTAACAAAAATTAAAATTTTTGTTAAAAAAATTTACTTTAAATTGATTAAGAAATCTTAAAATTTTATAATTTTTTTATGTATATATCTCAAAAAAAATTATAATTTGCCTTGTTTCACAATCGCAATAATAATGGGGAAGAGATAGAAATATAGAAACAAGGATTTGCGTCAAGTAAGACGACATAATCGCGTTAAAGCCAATACCAAATACAAAACGATATGTGTTTGAAAAGTGCGTCACAGATGGAACGCCGGTATTGTAAGCACGTCCGAGGAATACGCGGAGAATAGCACAGCCTCATCACTTGATCCTTAACTCGAATCAAACAGTAATCTTCCCATTGTGAAACTCAGCGCAATATCACTGCCGACGACTGAATTGCCTTATCGTTCGAAAGTGTTACGTGATAAAAGTGTTCTACTTGTCTCTGCAACAAGTGCTGATGTCGCAATAAATACAAATTTAAGATAAAAATTGATAGAAATTTATATTTAGTGAAATTAATTTACAAAATAAATTTTTTTCTACATATTATCTTTTTTGTCTTTTCTTATGTTTTATACATATAAATAGAAAAATGTAAATTAAAATATTTATTTTCTTCACAAAAGACTTGTGAAGATTCAGAATTGTGGTTGGACGGTTTTAAAAAATATATAAATTGCATACATACAAATATATATATTTAAAGATAAGAAAAGAACAAGCAATATCATTTTTAAGATGTGTATTGCTCATTCACAAGAGATAAAGATATTTATTCATTTCAATTACCGAGACTCGATAAGAGACAAGCGCTACAGAATATTCGAAAGAAATTTGCTACATTATCGCTTGTTGTCATTTGATTATCAACATCAAGGAAAAAGTAGAAAATAGCTATAATATTTTTCTATGCATGGTACACTTAGTTTGTATTAGTGACAAAATTAAAATATGTTGAGATTAATTTCTTCCAATTATTTTAGTTTATTTCAGAAAAAATATTGCAGGAAAAAGCAGTAAAAAGAACTTTACCGTATATTGCAGAGTAGAAAACATTTTTTGTTATCTCTTATAATTTTATATTTTATTCTCAAATGCTCTATTTTACATATTTAACACTTTATACGCAACAATAATAACATCATTGTGACATTTTTAAATATTTTTAAACATAGATTACTATACATTATTTACAATTTACAGCATTCGATAATCGACTATCGAGTAATTGCATATGATTAATATATATCAATAGCTTTTGGTAAAATAATTATTTGGTCAAATAACATCTCGAACTATTTCAAAATTATTCTAAAAGAGTAGTGCGAGAGAGATAGAATGCGACGTATTCACCACAATAAACACAGTACAGTACATGACATCTAACAGAGGGAATTTACTTTAACTCAGACATCAGTTGGTCGATAACATTATTTGCAATATGAAATTTTGTTAATTCAATACGAAAATATTATTATATAATGTTAAAAACACATTTTTTTTTAAATAACAAAATCATTCAACATGTTCGATACGTTTTGTTTTGATTAGTAAAATGGCAGAAAGTTTTATAGAGCATATCTATATCTGTAAGTGGTAATTCTGAATAAAAATTTGAATTAAACTTGATGATAAAATTAAAATGAAATTTCTGTGTAAAAAGAAGACCTCAGATTTATATATTTCATTCTTTGTACGATTCTTGGATATTTTAAATGCATTCCTAAAAAATAATTGCAGATGCACATATTACGCATTTACAACCCTAAAATTACCTTTGTTTTTTTTTTAACAACAATTATGTCAAATACGAAATAAAAAATAAGGTACTTTGCAATTTATAACAAATAGTCGTTTGGGGAAAACAATCCGTATCAATAAAAAAAAGAAATAAAAATATAAAAAAGTGACGTATATATCCTTCTCTTTCATCGATCTTCACAATTTTTCAAACCAGAACCATCAATACTAATTTTTGCGTTGAACGTGACGCGACCAGGTAAACGCTTTTGGTGACATGCTGAGATTTTCAGGCCGGTTCGACCGGATATTTTATGCTCGATACTTTTCTTCGTTCGAGCTTTTTCTGTATCTCCTGCAACGTTTTACCCTTCGTCTCCGGTAATACAAAATACGCAAAGGCGACGGACGCGGCAGTGAAGCACGAGAACGTCCAGAAAGTTGCTGCCTGTCCCATCTCGGTCTCCATGATCGGGAACAACTTGGTGACAGCGAACACGAGGCTCCAGTGTGTCACGATCGATATGCTGCTGGCGACGCCCTTGGTTTCCGGTGGGAATATCTCACTTATTACCGTGAAAGGTACGGATCCGTAACCGATCGAGAATACAATATTGAAGAAAGCGAGACTGGTCAGCGGCACCCAGCCAAAGGCACTCACGTCGCTTCCTTCGTCCTTGAGTCTAAAGTAGTAACCCAGAATGGCCAAGCAAACGGTCATCATCGCACCGGATATTATCAGGAGTGGCTTTCGACCAAATCTGAAGGAATCGAAAGAGGATGGTTCATAAAAAAAAGGGAAAGTTCATAAAAATCAAAGTTTATAGAACGAAGTGAAAATTAAACGCACATAAAAATTAATGCAATTTGATATTGAAAAAGAGATAGAAAAAACTAGCTGATGAGAATGATCACCAAACGGTTTATTAAAAATTTAACAGCTGTCATGTCAGTTTCAAAATGAATAAAGATTTCATGATTTATAAAAATGATTAATTTAGAGAGAATCGTTAATCGATTTGTGAAAGAAATACTTAAATATTCTAACTTGTCGATCACGGAAGCGACGAATATCGTCATCACGACCTCGGTAAGCCCGATAACGATGGTCGCCAGGAATGGATCAATCGTGCTGTTGGCCGCCTGGAAAATGTTGACCGTATAGAAGAGAACCGCGTCCACGCCGCACAATTGCTGGAAGCACATGAGTCCTACGCAAGTAACGGCGGCCTTACGTCCTGCCTTGGTCCCGATGAGGTCCTTGATACCGCCCGATGCTTTTGCTATCCTGTTTACATCATCTTGGAGAACGGCCATTTCCCCGACGATGTCGTAACGCGTTCCTCGTAAGATCGACAGAACTCTGGCGGTTTGATCTTCGCGGCCCCGTTGCATCAACCACATCGGCGATTCCGGCATGAAGGGCGCGCCTAGGACGAAGGGCAGCAGGATGGCGCAGCAGGCGATGTTGAAGATCGTATAGGAGCAATAGGCACCCGCCACGTACGAGAAGAGAATCCCCGAGGAAAAGAGCAGGGGGAAGAAGACGCCCAGGGCACCCCGAATCGACGCCTGGGCAATCTCGCCGACGTAGACGGGCACCAGGACGCACGCCGCCCCGGCACCAATTCCACCGATGAACCTCGCGGCATATATGCTGATGATGTTCCTAGTTGTGACCAGGGTGAGCCAGCACGTAGCGAATGGCACGACCGTCAGGATGATGGCCCACTTTCGGCCGATCCAGTCGGCGATTTTGCCGGCCGGCACGGCACCCGCGATAGCACCCAACGCTAGCAGGGACGATATCCACGAGATCTGATTCTCGGACAGTTCGGGAAGAAAGGACTCTTCCGACGTGAGGTACGGCAGAATCGGCGATGTCCAGCCGAGCGTTATGCCAGCTTGCATGCCGACCAGTGCAGCTGCAAACAAATGCCACATTCTTGTCATCGAAAGAAATATATTGTATCAATTTAAAGAAATACATCGAGTTTATTAAATACACAAGATAATTTTGCTAAATGATATCAGAAATGATTCAAAAGTTTTTAGATCGAAATGATATCAATTGATTGAAAAATTATTTTATATATCTGTTAATTTTTTAAATCGTAATAATCAGTTTTACTCACTAAAGTAAGAATGTATCGAGCATATTAAATAATTTTATATAATTATAAATTAATTGCTTTAAGAGAATGTCAAACATATAGCAATAATATTTTCTATATTAAATTGACAAACTTTTTCTTTTATGACAATGAAATTTCTTTCAGGCTGTAAGAGTAATTCTATTATTACATCGCGTATCTTCTAATCTCTTTGAAACTATTTTCTGGTAAAAAATGATAAAGATGTTGATTTAGATTATGTACAGCGAAACAGTGATTAAATTATTATTCGTTCATATCAAGCATGTCAATCAAAGCAGAATCTTGCAGATACCTGATTATCTAAAGTAATTGAATCCAAATTTTGCGTAACATTAGGATTATAATTGTCGAAGATAATTGTTGCAAAATAATAAATACATAATATGTACACATTTTATGAAAAGATAAGATTTATGAAAATTTTGAAAATTTATTTACAAAAAAGGACGGTTTTAATAATTGCACTGATAGATATATCAGATAAGAGAGAGAGGATAAAGATTGAATAATTGAAATTCTATTGCATCTCTATGTTGAAATAATCGAAATAATTTATTATAACAATTTATAGAACATTTACAAAATCATTATTACTGAAATCGTTTTTTGACTTTGCAAGTTCAATGGATCGCGGTGTACACTTATCGATACTTGATTATGATAAACTGCATTTCAAATTTTATGTAATGAACGAATTATCAATTACGTTAATTAATGTTATTATTCTATTTTGCAGATGTTATTATTAGAAAATTATATATACTTGATAATATACGAATGAAAATTACTAGGAAAATTTATCGCAGACAGAATTTGTTATAAAGAATCTTTTACCTAAAATATTTGAGCTATCCTATAAAGTAGTGAAAAATATCAAACGATTACGTATAAAAAAGCGAAATAAAACAATAGAATGCAATGTAAACATTATTGATATAAGGATTTTTTTGTAAATTTATTCCAGACTAAGATTCTAAAAATCTTAATGAATATTCGAGAATCACAAAGTTTCTTTTCGTGATAAATTTTATAAGCAGACAGATAAATAGTTGATTCTATCGTAAGCAGGTCTTAAGAAGTCGATCACTTTAGATAATATCGATATCGTGAGATGAAGTGTCGGCCTCGTTATATACGTACATTATTTTTGTATTTATAAGTAAATATTTAAGTTTTGAAAGATAGAGAGAATACTATAAAAATATTTATTTTTATAAATAGATAAGAAAATATATTTTAAAAAACTCAATAAATTTGTATGATTTACTTCAATATTTTTTTCTATTTTTTTTATCATGTTTCTGCACTTTTCAATAAGTATGTTATTTGTGTGTATAGAAAGATCAATTTTTTAGATTTCAATGTTCCTCAATAAAAAAATTGTTTCTTTTTCCTAGATTTTAAATATTACTTACCGCAAAAACTAATTAGAAATTGAAAACGCTTCTTTCCTTTGCCGGAAGAATCAATAGCATTTGACACTTGTGATATGTATTTCTCCTTCCCTTCATCTGGTAAGGTAACCAAAAAAGGTTTTGACGTGGCATCATTAGTGTGTACCATCGTAGCAGTGCCAATTGTCATTTCGAAATGTGATTCGAATTTGATATGAAAAAGAGAAACTGTCGAGAAATCGCGAGCTTGTGTTTATGACAAACGCACTGGTAAACTGTCGCGAGATAAAACTGTCTGAAGACAAAAAGTGATACGCTCTGCGCATCTTTGGCCCCCTCAATATACTGAAGGTGTGTATTGCGCCGATTTATATCTCCAATAAACGCTTATCGTGAAACGCACCGATATCATTCGCGTATATAATATCATAACTTACGTGATTATCGCCTACTGTCATTCGCGAAAATTACAGACATCAGGGGGGGGGGGGCTTTATATTGTAATTTTATGAATGAATAAATACATATTCCAGCACATTAATTTTGACGAAACTCATTTAATTTACATAATACTTATCGTAAATTAATGTGGCGCAAAAATATTTCGGCTTAAAGATAATATAATTACTAAAATTATGAGGGGAAATTATGAGGATGAGAAAAACCAGCAGATAAATCATTGGCAAATTTTTATAGAGATGCCACAGAGTTTTGTTTATGCAAAAGAAAATTCTGTTTAATGTTAATATTTTATGTTTATTAATTACTTATAAATAGATACATATTATATCGAAAGTACACATAATTGAATAATAATAATTTCAAAATTTACATTGCATTGATTTTTGAGGAAACCATATAGATGATAGAAACACGCGATGTCCGCGATATGTGTAATATCAATAGATATTCGTCTTTAAAAATTACAAAAGTTCGAATATGAATAAATACACGTCCCAGCGCATTGATTGTGACGAAATTCATTTGATTTACATATTTCCTATCTTAAATTAATATTCATAGCTATAAGAGGAGTACACGTACATACACGAAATGTTGTATCTGTTAATTAGCACACACGCGAGACGAATATTAATTACATGAGGTAATAAGTCGCAGAGAAATGTGGATTCAAGTACAGATTGATGCTTTCACAAAGCAAAAACTTTGTTAATTAACTTGATGTACATTATCTTGAACATACATTTTAGTTTAAAACACATAGTTCGCGAGAAAAGTATCGTTTTAACTGAAAGTAGTAACAGATAACATTAATATTATACATTTACATTTGTATTTTCAAGTGCCTATTTTTATGCTTAAAAGAACAGTAGAGTTGTTTTAAAAAATATGAAATTAAGATAAACTGCTTTTTCACAAAAGCTTGCGTTTTACCGTACTTACAATCACGATACATTTTAAAATAAAGTGAGATATGAATTTTTTAAGTAATGCTCTTTAATTAACCACATATTAATAAAAAATACTGACATTGTAACAAGTTTCATTAAAATAGCTTTTTAACTATATATGATCCATTGTAATTAACTTCTATAGATTACATTCTGTTAATTTTTTATTTTTTTTTTTAAGTTGTCATTTTGCAAGATTAAAAAGTGCTTAATATGAAAAAGGAGGTTTGCGAAGATTATATATGTAATAAAAAAGATAACTATATATGTTAATCTATGTAATAACAAATGTATCAACATATACTTTTGATGGGCGTTTTATTGTCGGCAATGAGATATCATGACACTCTATCTCATTATATTACAGACGGTCCATATTTGTCGCCATTGACGCAAAGAGCGTCAATACGGGCGAGTATAAATGAGCGTGTAATAATGTATTTACATTTTACATATGCTTAAAATAGAAATTATTCATTTATTCTTTGTGGGAGGTATTTCAATATTGTTGAAAAGTGAACGTAACATAGAATCGATTTTTTCAAGAACTATATTAAGGCACTAATAATTTTTGAATTATAATACATTAAAAGAGTTTATATGTTTACAGATTTAAAAATGAATAATAAAAATTAAGTTAATATTTAATTTGAAATCTATTTTAGAAGAATTTTTATTGGAAACTTTAATTATATATAATCACTATCACATGGCAAAATTCGAATATTTATAAAATATAATTTTAAAAAATAGCAAAGATATAACTTACAGATATTATAAAAGATAATTAGAATGGATCAGATAGAAAACCATTTTAATGAAATTTGATAAAATGCTAGTATTTTTTACAATATGTGGTAAATTAAATGAATATTCATAGAGAATGATCTCGGGCATTTCCATTAGGAGAAAAAAATGGGCAAACTATACAAAACATAACGCTACACTCTTTTCGTCATTTGTGGAATAAAAATGCGAAAAATGCGCGTTGTCTTTTTTGCGTATCTCAAACATACAGATATGCGCTAAAATATGAAGACCGTACAAACATATCTCGTCTTATTATCTTATCTATCTTCATATCTCGCTACTGAAAATATATCATAGCTTCATCGAAATACAACATTTACGATGCGATTACTAATGCAAAAACACAAAGATTGAATGGATTCAAGGAAAAATAAATTATATGAATTTTATGCAGAGCATGATGAGAGAGAGAGCGAGAGAGAGAGATATATGTTTTATTGCAGCATAATATCACACACATTTTACACTTCAAGCTACTCTCGATAATAATGCATTTATCATATTTAAATCGTCAGAAAACATTTTCGAATTTTTAAACGTAAATTTGATTATATTATCAGTCTAATCTCTTAGCGCTACTGAATAATTTATTTATTCCAATTATGATAACACGATGCCATAAAAATAAATTTTGGGATATATATGTATATTCAAAACGATGCAAATAACCATGCATTTTGAAATTAAATTGAAAAGGGATTCAAGTCAAAATTATATTGGGCTCTCTTTAGTAATTTTAGTTCTTCCGGAGGAAGTGCTTTATCTTCATTCTTCGTGTAGGTATGCGAACTTCAATTCGCGCGTCCTTTAACGGTGCATCCGGTGTAACCGATATCAATGCAACGAGAAGTGTGATGACCTCATTGAATCAAGATGAACACAATCTTTTATTTCCCGTAAAAGGCTTCCGAAGATATCGCAGTGATAGCGAAATGTTTATGTAGACAAAAATAGACACGAAATTAAATTACAGATACAAAATTATTATTTTTAAAAAGATAATTTACAATTAATCGCTGTGAGAAAGAAAGGAAATAATCTTATTCGTAATGCAAGACAAAAAGGAAAATTTTCGAAAAATCCAAATAGAGAATATTTAACTTTTCAATCATACTTTTGATTTTCTTATAATACATGATATTCGTTTCTTCATGTGGAATAACAATTGGAGTTTTTTATATCGTAGTATAATATTTTATATTAAGCAAATAAAAATCGTCTCCGTTCAATTATATGAATTAAGAAATATGTACGCTAAGTCATTAAACGTTGATAAGTAAATAAAAAAAAATTTATTTAGCCGCGAAACTTGATTTGCCAGTAACTCAATATAATTTCGAGTTAATTTTAACGATAGACTTGTGTTTTGTGATGTAAAAGTGAGGCAGACATTCGGTGGGGCTTCGCACGATCGATTAATCGAACGCGTAGGCCGCGTTGGGTAATCACAGAGACGATTTTAGAGCCGTTTGATCTGGGTGCATGTATCTGGTGCGTGTATCTAGTGTATGTACGACGATAAGCTATGAGCCGCCCCCATCACACATGGCGCACCGCGATGAGTAACTCCATCGACTTTGGCGTAAACGCGGCGGCGCGTTTAGTGATTTAGTTGGTGCGCATCGTTCAAGTGCATTGAATATTCGCGTCTCTCCCGACGCGTAGTCTCGCGAAATTAGTAACGTGTAACTCCGGTTAATCTTCCTCAATTGTTTGCGTCGTGCTCTCTAAAATGTACGATTAATCTTTTGTAACAATTACGTATAAAACAATGATTCTATATAAATATATGGATAATTAATCTGTTGACAGAGTTTGTGATCTTGGATCATCTTTGCTCTTCGCTTTATCGGCGTTGCGTTTGGATAACATTCGTGTGGATCTCAGAGGAGTATGAAGATTTTTCGCAGGATCTTTAGGAAGAAAAAGAAGAAGTACAAGAAATCTCGGAAGACCACGTCGAAGAAAAGGATCGCAAGCAGCTCGCACGATGCGCATTTACTAAGAGACGATTTCCTCTTCGGCACCAGTATCGCGAATACTTCGAGACGGCATCGGCGTAAACATAAGGTAAAAAGAAATGAAAATTAAATATCAAATTAACACGTAGATCAGCGCATTTATATTATGCTGACGCTATTGATTAAAATATTTATCTTGGAATATTATAAACTTCAACGACACGCACACTCTTCATCAACATCATTTTTGTGATTATATAACACTTTTAAGATACACAACTCACCTTGAGAACAGGTGTTGAAACGTATTGCGGTCATAAAGTTCCTCGTATAAATCTATTACGCCTTTGCGGTAAACTGAACGGCGTAGTGTTTTGTGTACACACGTCGCTGCACCCACGCGTATGTCATAACATGCGTGTGTGTGTGTAGCATTAAGTCGACTCGTTGAGGGACAGTCTATTTTCTTCTAATCTATCTGTGATATGTGCTATTATTAAGAATGGCAGGCCAATTGGATCTGTTAATAGACATCAAATAATTTACGGTAAATTTATTAATTACATCTTCAATATCAACGGACAAAGTTCAACTTTTTTTAATACGTTCTGGCGCGTTTTAATATGTTAAATATGTGAATTATCCATAATCTTTTTTTATACACGAAGAGGATATTTATTGTGAAAACGAAATGTGAGAGTTAAAGTTTAGCTCTAAAAGAATACGAGCCGCGATTTTTTCGCGTCATATTTACACGAGCCGGAGAATGGATTCCCGGCTATAATTTCACGGGAAGTGACCGCATAATCGGATATACGGATAGCGTTAGACGCGCACTTTTGATTGCACAGCAATTATCATGTGCGTCCTTTTTCTTTCTATAGAGTGATTAAAAATACGCTGCAAGTATATATTTGCATAAAGAGAAAAGAGTATTCTATAATATTTTATAATTCATTTATTTTTATTCAAAATCTAATACAAATATAAAAAAAAAATGTTTCCGCATTGCGAATTCTAAATTCCAATTTAGATAAGTCTATTTGTTTCATCATACAAGTCATATCATCGTATGAATACTTTTTTAAAAATAGGAATTTGGCAGAGAGAATATCACGAAATTTGAAAAAAGACAATATTTGCATAAAGCACTTCTATATCGCGCTTTAAAACTGAAAATGGAATAAGTATAACTAAACAGAAAAGCATTCTATGTGGACTGGATTAATTATTTATATCCCTATGTAAAAACAATTAGAAAAGAGAGAGAAGGATGAAAGTGTGATACTATGTCGTTGATGGAACGTTTCTAATCAGGTTTTGACAGGTGTAATATGCACATCTCGTGACTTTCCAACGATGCTACAGCTAAGTGCTAATGCGCTTTAAGAGTTTGTTAACACTTTCGACACTGCGTCTCTTTTTAAAAATCGCATTAAAGTGCAGGATGGACAACGGAATGGACAAGCGGAAATGCGTGGAGGCCAGTGCGACAGCTATACAATGTATCTCAGAAATTTCGATCTTAAAAAATAGTATAAAATCGTCAAAAAAAGACTGTCGTTAAACTGATATAGTATATCTCGAGTAATATTGCTTTATTACTTTTCACAAAAATATATAAATTTTGATGATATATATATATATATATGTGATATGAGTTGCATATTTTCGTATTTATATATTATATGAAAAAATATAAAATATTAAACACGTGAGATATGAAATTAAACATCTAATTACGAATAATCGGTTCATACATTCTTGTATTTATCTCTTTCCGGCAAACAAAAAAAATAAATTTGAAATTTATTAAAAAATAATAATTTAAAATATATAATAATTTTCGGTAAAAAATTTAAACAGCCTGTGCGAGGCGTGAGAGATGTTCAAATACGCACCACGCCCTCGTGTCGCCTTATCTTTCATCCGGTTACTAAGGTTGGTGCAGCTACCTGCCTGCGGCGACAGGTACCTAGATCTACCTGGGTTACAAGCGCACATTCCACAGGAAATGTCCTTACGATCGCTCAGCCGAAGTTGCCAATAAGTTCTTTTTGCCCGTCGCGGTTGACGAAAGATTCTTTTGCGTGTGAATGACGTTGCTGTTCGGCAAATCGAGCGTGCTTGTCGTCGTCATCGTCGTTACATTGCTTCTCGCATTTTATGCACTCTCGTCGTGCTCCCGCGCGGAATGCTGTGAGAGATTAATATAATCGATCGTCATCAGTTTTCATTGTGGGTTATTTATCATTATAATTTGATCTATTGATATTTATTTTATAGGGCATTTCAAAATCGAAAAAAATACGGATAAAGTGAAGTCGTTAATGAAAAGTTGGTAAAATTACCGGATTCTTAACGTTAATTTTGAGAGTAATTTACGTTATCGTTGATACACACCGTCCACATTTGCGTAAAAAATTCGTATTTACATATATATATATATTATATGAAAAAAAAAAAATATATTAAATTTCAAACGTGAATGTAGCACATGTGAGATATGAAATTAAGCATTATCTAATTACAAATCATAATCGGCTCATATATTCTTGTATTTATCTTTTTCAACCAAGTTAAAAAATAAATTTAAAATTTATTAAAAAATAATAATTAAAAATATATAATTCTTGGTAAAAAATTAACACGTTTTACGTAAGCGATTATCCTAAACCGATAACGTGATTCTGAAATCCGGTTTTCCTTCTGCGATACGACGTGCGGCAAAATTTTTCTGGATGCTTGAATCATGCGCTGGTGTCGTGTATATATATGTATCCACGAGCGTTTTACATTCCTAAACGTTTCCCTCGTGCTCGGTGCGACTGCAAGGTTGCTTATAACACGCTTTCCCCAACATTTAATCTTGAAAAAAATTCAAGTTTTATCTATACAATTTTTTAAAATTATTATTGCGTATCAAATTTGAATAATTTCAATTATTTTTTATATGAATCGTACACGATTTATCTAATGTGTTATACTTGTGTGATTTTGAAAAGATCTGTTGCTTTTTTTCTACAACTTTTTCTCGCGCTCTTCTATTTCGTCGATGTAGAAAAGTATTTAAACTTAAGACTACGATGAAAAGAATTCCATTGTTAGACCGAGATTCTCTCGGAACGTTCACTAAAATGTGCGTTTCATGCGCGAAACTTAGGCGTAGACGACGTCGTTTGCATTCCTCGTTTCGCGATAGCCTCCTCGACACGCTTGAAAAGTAGTACGGTAGCCTCTCCTCGTCGGATTTTCCCTTTCAAATCCGTTATCCGCGCGTCCAGATTCAACGCGATGGTTAAGCAGATTCATACGTAATGAGGCGAGTACTGTGGGAAACGCGAGCGTAATTTTTCTCATTAGTATAAAATGCGAGCGTAATCTACTACGATCGCAACGGAATGACTCTGCGGTAATTTGTTTTAGTGATCTCGTGATCTCACACCGAGAGAGAACGCTTTTATGAAACTTATGAATCATCGACTAAGCCTAGCTTTCCTATCGCGTTAAATGGAAATATGACAGCTGCATTAGAACAACTTTCCTCTTAGAAATATGCCAGAATCGTCTGTTTAATTCTAGAAAGAACGATAGTGAATTGACAGAATTGTATCATGGTATTTTTATAGTAAAGTAAAATTTTTATTAAAAGACAATCGAAGAAATTATTTCCAAATAGCAGTGTATTACGATGTAAATTACAATATCTCGATGTAAGCCTTTACAGCCAGACATTTTGAGACTTTGATGGTTTTATCGGATTTTAAGCAATAATTTTTTGAGTGTATGATATATCGTAAGAATGTAGATGAGAGAGAAGACGAGTTTTATATATATAATAAAAAAATTATTATTAATCTATTTGTATTGATCTCTGTGCTTAACATTTTACGCATCGATTGATCTTTGAACTAGCTATATGTCGTTAAAAAATTTGAGGCATTTCTTCCAGCATACATTTCTCTCATCGTTCAAGGTCAACTTTCATTTCATTTATGAGATCATAAGGGGTTTGCTCTTTTCAGCTGCATCTCTTTAAACTTTCTATATTTAATGCAGCGTATTTATTGATGGCAAGGAGGAGAGAGAGAAAAAAATTGCAGTAAAATATGGAAAATATGAAAAAAATATGGAAGTTAAAATAGAAATTATTGTATATTGTTTTTGTTAATTAACTCATCGCACAATTATTATATTTTTTCTATTACGAAAATTTAATTGGCAATTTCTTAGAATGAGGTGTTTCTCAAATATTTCAATATCAATTTACTTTCTGTGTTTCTATACATATTTAATCCTTTGATCCAGCATCATTCTCTTCGACGAATGCATAAGTCTGTTACTCTTTTCCGCCTCTTCTCCATTTTTTGTCGCTCTCTCTCTCTCTCTCTCTTCCCCTCCTCCCTCTTTCTTTGGCTACATCCTAAATATGTATTCATTTTAATTGAAACGCAGAAAATGCTGAAAAAGAAAAAAGGGCAGAAGAGGAGGGGAACCGGAATTTCACGTTCGCGATGATTTTGTATCCGTACGTCTCGTCCCGGTCGCGAAAGCTCTTAAATCGCGAGGACAAAGAATAGAGAAACGGAAAGCGGATACTTAGGGGCCGCGCGACAAGCAGAATTCCAGCTGGTGTAAGGTGTGTCATATTCCAGTTAATGATCTCTCTCGTAGAGCCTGGCCCCGCGTGCGTACACACGACATACGACGTACCAGGCCTCTACGTACGCATACACCCACGAGCACGTACGTATACACATTCATACGGGCAAGACGTTCGTTGAGGAACGACCTCTGCTTGTAGTCTTGCCAACTAAGCGAACCGACCAGGCAAAACCGGTGTCGAGTGCCCGATCCTACCCTCCTTGCTCTTCTCTCCTTTCTCTCTTTCCGCCCCTCTCCCCTCACCGTTTCCCTACTCTCTATCGCTCTCTCCCTCTTTCTCTCTCTCTCTCTGTCTCTCCCCATTTCTTTCTCCATCTCTCGTGTGTGTTAAACATCGCCGTCCCTCCCTCCTACCTTCTCCTCGCTCCGTCCTTTTGCGTCCCTGCAGTTCTCGACCGATTCTACAGTCGACTTGACGATAGAGAAACCGAACGCGTTTGTCGCCAGGACTCTCGCGCCCCGGCAAAAGGACATTCCTCCGTCCGTTCCTCGGTGTATCGTTCCCGAAATATTACCGATCCCGCGCACCTTCGGGAAGAGGTAAAGAACGAATCTTCTCGCGACCCGGCCCCGTCTCCCTGCCCGCTGCGAGGATCGGCGTGAGCACGCGAAGGCCGTGTGCACGCGCGTGCGGCACGAGAGAGTCGACGCGAATCATTCGAGATGCACGCGCGCGACGTGCATCCACGCCCGCGAACGTGTCGTGTCGTGCGTGCCAATCCGTCGTCGTGAGAGATGCCGATATGTGCGAGGGAAACTTACAAGGAATTGATACCCGAATCGCGCCCAATTTATCGTCACAAGTGATGTCGCATAGTTGTTGATTCACGTGCGAGGATAACGTGTACGATCGCTATCAGAGACGCGTCAATTCTCCCATAGCGTTTTGAAATCTTATAATTTTATAAGTTTGTGTGAATTGTGAGCTTTCAAAGCTAAAGAGTGTTTTTCGGTTTTGTTTTGTTTTGTTTTTTTTTTTTTTTTCGGTTTTTTTTTGTTTTGTTTTTTTTTTTTTTTTTTTGCTGTGGTGACGATTAAATCGACGAGCTCTAGGTAAAGACGAGCGAGGTCGTCTCGGCGATTTAAATCGCGATCCGGTTTTGTGGTGGTTTCGTTTCGGGCAATCGTAGCGCAGGTAGCCGGGCCGGGAACCTGTTTGTGTGTGTCGACGGCCTTCAGCGAGTTTTTGGAAATGCGCTTCCGGTCGTCGTAGAGTGCGGTATATTTTTGTGCGGGAGGAACGAGAGAAGCGAGGAAGGGTGGGGGCAGGAAAGAAACGACGAAGGAATTTTGCGGAAAATTGTGCCATTGTCGTGATAACTATACATACGGTGTTTAGAGTAGTCTCGTCATATCGGAATCGCTGAATAGACAAGAACTTCTTTCTCGTATAATGCTGATAATCAACAATCGAATCGACGATTTCGCCTCTTTTTAAATTTCTTTGTCATTTCAGCTTAGCCTCTGACAGAGATTTTTTCTTCTTAATACGGAATTATTTTCGCCGCAACATTATATTAACAAGATCTATGAAGACTCGCAAATATAAAACGCAAAAAGAGAAAAATCCTGGAATTATACACGATTCGAAAACAGCTGATTGGAGAATAATTGATTTATAACTCGGGGAACACATGGATTCACGATATGATCGATGGTAAAAATATTTCAAGAATATCTTGATCTCTGAACATTCGTTATTGTTTCTGTGAAGATTTATAACTTTCTTTTCTTTCTTCTTATATTACATAGATTTTTGATCGAGAGTCTATTATAAGCTTGCAGATTATCGAGAGAACGGATTCGAGATCGAATGTACGGCGAAGATTCGCAGTGATTTCGAAATTGAACGCTTCACGCTACATCGCGTCTGATGCGAGGGAAAAAAAGGCGCCGACGACGACGACGACGAGATTGTATATCGAGAAGCTATAGCTACGTGACCGAGCAAGGCAAACCGGAGCGAGTCTCGCGGAGAACGGAATGAAGAAGGGAAATTCGCGACGAGGAGAGAAACGGGTTAGTCGCGGACCACGAGATTCGCGTTGAATCGTCTCAATATTCGTTTGAGAAAATTCTGATCCGGTCGTTTTGCGAGAGAGAAAGAGAGATGGACAAGTTACAACCTGCGCGAGAAGTTTGTTCACGTGGAATTGTGGAATCTCGTCGTCTGAAAAAGAAATGCACACGCGGTAGAAATTGTGAAATATTACCTCAACGAATATTTATCAATTCTAGAATTAATATTTAAATTAATTTTTTTTTATTATTTTTATATCAGAAATTCTCGCGTTTTTTTTTCTCCCCAAAAAGAAAGCGGTTCAAGATTATTTAGCCCACACACAGGGGTAAAAAACTCCCCGCGCTGCTTGTTCTGCGAATTTTACGAATTGTGTCTAATTCCAGGATTCTTCCTTTGAATGTTATGCATTTGTGTTAGGATAAGAGAGAGAAACTCAAAGTTTAAATATCAGAGGCGAAATTTAAAAAGCGGCAAACACTCAGCTTGATGATTGATTATCGGTATTATACAGGGATATATATCGAGCAAGAACCAGAGAAAGGCAATGTACAAATTGATTTCTGTAGATTTTAAAGCAACATTCTCAAGATTACACTTTCTACATAAAGAGCATTAAGAAGCACTATATCAAACGTCAGTTAAAACAATTGTATTCTTTCCTTTTTAACGGAAAACATCGACGACGAAAAGAACGAAAGAAACGCCTTTCGAACAATAAAAGTGCAACGGTTTTCTTGACCAGCTTAACAAAAGGAGGACATCTTTTGTCACGTGTTAACATCGGTCAACGGTCTCACTTTGAACGAGCAATCTCGTCTTTACGCAAGAGACGGCGATCCATTGATTGCGCGTTCACCGCATATACGGTATGCATGATGCGTTTGCGGCGGAGTTGCTTGCGACACGTTTATCCGACACGACGCGATCCTGCATGATACACCTGTGAAGACGGGGGGTTGTTCGAGGAGGAAGGGATGCAGAATCTCAGATCGCGGATCGGCGGAAGTGTGCGGCGAGGGAGCGACCCGTGAGAGAATCGTCCTCTTAGACGCGTGCGAGAGGATAAAGGAAGAGACGTCACCCTCTCTACGGTACGCAGGATGGACAGGAGCGATAACAATGTCGTCGGGGTCGGCGGCGGAAGCGGGAATGGAGGCAGCGGCGGCACCGGCGGCGGCTGTCACGTGGGAAACTCCGGATCCCCGCCAAACTCCATCTCGTCGACCCACGGCACCGTGCTCAATTCTACCGGCGGGCTCGACGGTCAGGTAGAGCATCCCGAGATCTTTAGGCTCGATATCAGGGTTGATATGAATATTCGGAAACTATCGTTTGAATTATTTAAATGAATTTGAATTCTTAAAATCACAACTGGTTCGTGTTCTAGAGTTGTCATCGCGAGAAGAACGTTGGTGAAAGATCGTACTCTAACGTGGAGTTATTACATAACATACGATTTTATTATTATATTGTCAATTAATTGTAAGGTACAATAAGAACGCGATTTGCCGGACAGCCATATGTGAGCCGACATCGATGTGGCCGGATGTGCCTGATCATATCCCTCATTGTTGTAGTCGATAATCACGTTACGAGTGTCGCAAATGTCAAACTTGCACGATCGTCAGTGAGCGAACATGTTTTGTGTGCATAATATATATAGGTACATATGTATGCGTACGTTAATATATGGGCGGAAAAGAACTCATTACTCAGATTGTCGAAAAGATTATCAATAAATTAATTAACATTCATATATAAACAAATAGTCGTGTTGTATAAACTACAAAGTACAGTAAATGTGTAGCATAAAGGCACTTTAGTTTTTGGTTTTTTTTTTTTTTTTTTTTTTTTTTTTTTTTTTTTTGCTGTGGTGACGATTAAATCGACGAGCTCTAGGTAAAGACGAGCGAGGTCGTCTCGGCGATTTAAATCGCGATCCGGTTTTGTGGTGGTTTCGTTTCGGGCAATCGTAGCGCAGGTAGCCGGGCCGGGAACCTGTTTGTGTGTGTCGACGGCCTTCAGCGAGTTTTTGGAAATGCGCTTCCGGTCGTCGTAGAGTGCGGTATATTTTTGTGCGGGAGGAACGAGAGAAGCGAGGAAGGGTGGGGGCAGGAAAGAAACGACGAAGGAATTTTGCGGAAAATTGTGCCATTGTCGTGATAACTATACATACGGTGTTTAGAGTAGTCTCGTCATATCGGAATCGCTGAATAGACAAGAACTTCTTTCTCGTATAATGCTGATAATCAACAATCGAATCGACGATTTCGCCTCTTTTTAAATTTCTTTGTCATTTCAGCTTAGCCTCTGACAGAGATTTTTTCTTCTTAATACGGAATTATTTTCGCCGCAACATTATATTAACAAGATCTATGAAGACTCGCAAATATAAAACGCAAAAAGAGAAAAATCCTGGAATTATACACGATTCGAAAACAGCTGATTGGAGAATAATTGATTTATAACTCGGGGAACACATGGATTCACGATATGATCGATGGTAAAAATATTTCAAGAATATCTTGATCTCTGAACATTCGTTATTGTTTCTGTGAAGATTTATAACTTTCTTTTCTTTCTTCTTATATTACATAGATTTTTGATCGAGAGTCTATTATAAGCTTGCAGATTATCGAGAGAACGGATTCGAGATCGAATGTACGGCGAAGATTCGCAGTGATTTCGAAATTGAACGCTTCACGCTACATCGCGTCTGATGCGAGGGAAAAAAAGGCGCCGACGACGACGACGACGAGATTGTATATCGAGAAGCTATAGCTACGTGACCGAGCAAGGCAAACCGGAGCGAGTCTCGCGGAGAACGGAATGAAGAAGGGAAATTCGCGACGAGGAGAGAAACGGGTTAGTCGCGGACCACGAGATTCGCGTTGAATCGTCTCAATATTCGTTTGAGAAAATTCTGATCCGGTCGTTTTGCGAGAGAGAAAGAGAGATGGACAAGTTACAACCTGCGCGAGAAGTTTGTTCACGTGGAATTGTGGAATCTCGTCGTCTGAAAAAGAAATGCACACGCGGTAGAAATTGTGAAATATTACCTCAACGAATATTTATCAATTCTAGAATTAATATTTAAATTAATTTTTTTTTATTATTTTTATATCAGAAATTCTCGCGTTTTTTTTTCTCCCCAAAAAGAAAGCGGTTCAAGATTATTTAGCCCACACACAGGGGTAAAAAACTCCCCGCGCTGCTTGTTCTGCGAATTTTACGAATTGTGTCTAATTCCAGGATTCTTCCTTTGAATGTTATGCATTTGTGTTAGGATAAGAGAGAGAAACTCAAAGTTTAAATATCAGAGGCGAAATTTAAAAAGCGGCAAACACTCAGCTTGATGATTGATTATCGGTATTATACAGGGATATATATCGAGCAAGAACCAGAGAAAGGCAATGTACAAATTGATTTCTGTAGATTTTAAAGCAACATTCTCAAGATTACACTTTCTACATAAAGAGCATTAAGAAGCACTATATCAAACGTCAGTTAAAACAATTGTATTCTTTCCTTTTTAACGGAAAACATCGACGACGAAAAGAACGAAAGAAACGCCTTTCGAACAATAAAAGTGCAACGGTTTTCTTGACCAGCTTAACAAAAGGAGGACATCTTTTGTCACGTGTTAACATCGGTCAACGGTCTCACTTTGAACGAGCAATCTCGTCTTTACGCAAGAGACGGCGATCCATTGATTGCGCGTTCACCGCATATACGGTATGCATGATGCGTTTGCGGCGGAGTTGCTTGCGACACGTTTATCCGACACGACGCGATCCTGCATGATACACCTGTGAAGACGGGGGGTTGTTCGAGGAGGAAGGGATGCAGAATCTCAGATCGCGGATCGGCGGAAGTGTGCGGCGAGGGAGCGACCCGTGAGAGAATCGTCCTCTTAGACGCGTGCGAGAGGATAAAGGAAGAGACGTCACCCTCTCTACGGTACGCAGGATGGACAGGAGCGATAACAATGTCGTCGGGGTCGGCGGCGGAAGCGGGAATGGAGGCAGCGGCGGCACCGGCGGCGGCTGTCACGTGGGAAACTCCGGATCCCCGCCAAACTCCATCTCGTCGACCCACGGCACCGTGCTCAATTCTACCGGCGGGCTCGACGGTCAGGTAGAGCATCCCGAGATCTTTAGGCTCGATATCAGGGTTGATATGAATATTCGGAAACTATCGTTTGAATTATTTAAATGAATTTGAATGCGGGTTTCCTGTTTTTCAAAGTACTTGAAGAATACCAAACCATTTGCCGTGATACAAACACACGTTAATAAAATTCCTTAACTTTTTGTTTCATCTTTATTATATATAATATTTGTGTAAAGAATTTAGATATCGAAAAATCTCCAAATTAATTGTAAATAATCACTGATTTATCGCACGTTACATTTGTTTTTATTATCGTGTTACAATAATATGATCTATCAGAGAAAAGAAGCGGAGAGGAATTTGTTGAGATGTAACACTGTTATTCTTTATCATCTATTCGAGTCAGGATGTATGTAGTATCTGATCGAATCATGGGATCACAGAAATAACTTCGCTATTCGAGGGCGATAACTCTGTCATTTGATACCGGGTATTGGATTATCTATCGATCGGCGCTTTCTCGCATAGAAGGGGGGATCTCGTAACACACGTGCTCTTAAGTGAGATTCATAAGCCCATCTGGCTAAATTTATCACGGCGAATTGTACGGAATTCGCGCGCTTTTAACAGCGAAACGCACGCTCGGTTCATTATTCCCTCTTCAACGAAATCCAATTATCGTGGCGGACGGGTGAGTACCCGTGATGATTATCATTAATTCAGTTGGTGTATATTTTGACGAAAACGCGCCACGGGAAAATTGGGGAATACACGAGGCTCTCCGTGGAATGCGGAGTATAATTACTTTATTGTATTATGCTTCCATGTGCGTAGGAAATGAATTATGAGTTTTAATTAAGCGATACCGTCTTCTAATTGCCGGTTAAACGTTATGTCATTATCCGCCCGTATATGCGAATTAAATCTGTTACTCTATTTTTACCGATGCATATCATATTAAATTTTACATTTATTGCAATAAGAATTTAATTTTACTATCGTTTCAATAATTAATTAAGTTGATAATTTTATTAATAATACCATTAAGAAAAAAGATATATAATTTATAAAATATATATATTTGATTTTATCTGTTTAATATTCTTTTTTATCAAGCAAAACTCAAGAATCTTTCGGGATAAAATAGGATCTCCAACTTTCGTTATCGTTATTTACGACAAATACGATAACGTATATTTAAGATTTACCCTTTCAACTAGATCGTTTTGCCATTTGTTGCGCAGGATATATACTTGTCACTAAACATGGTATTATGTGCGTACGTGCGCTCTTCTTCATATTTGCATAATATTATCTTACTGTTAAATATACGATAGAGACAACTGTGCTTATATATCTGTGCTTGGCATAGTTGAAGGATGAGGTAAGAAGATGATGTAAAATGTGTCTTTCGACATAATATTCTTATAATGAATCAATGATAATGTATGTGTCAATTGTGTATCACTATTTGCGCAAACGAGACATCTGCATGATGACGTTGGCATAGAAAATGGCCAGAAGATGGAATACATTATATTATATATATCAATCTTTTTAAAAAATATTTTTATCTTGCTATTATTATTATCTATTATACGTGAAATGTAAGCGCACACATAAGAATTAATTGGAGGGATATAATTAATTAATTTTTGAATGGATTAAAACACTAAACAATTGTCTTTCAAATTACTATATATTTGCGATGATAAAAGAGGAATAACCGCATACAATACGTTTTAACGTTATATATATATATATATATAGACAAGAACTTCTTTCTCGTATAATGCTGATAATCAACAATCGAATCGACGATTTCGCCTCTTTTTAAATTTCTTTGTCATTTCAGCTTAGCCTCTGACAGAGATTTTTTCTTCTTAATACGGAATTATTTTCGCCGCAACATTATATTAACAAGATCTATGAAGACTCGCAAATATAAAACGCAAAAAGAGAAAAATCCTGGAATTATACACGATTCGAAAACAGCTGATTGGAGAATAATTGATTTATAACTCGGGGAACACATGGATTCACGATATGATCGATGGTAAAAATATTTCAAGAATATCTTGATCTCTGAACATTCGTTATTGTTTCTGTGAAGATTTATAACTTTCTTTTCTTTCTTCTTATATTACATAGATTTTTGATCGAGAGTCTATTATAAGCTTGCAGATTATCGAGAGAACGGATTCGAGATCGAATGTACGGCGAAGATTCGCAGTGATTTCGAAATTGAACGCTTCACGCTACATCGCGTCTGATGCGAGGGAAAAAAAGGCGCCGACGACGACGACGACGAGATTGTATATCGAGAAGCTATAGCTACGTGACCGAGCAAGGCAAACCGGAGCGAGTCTCGCGGAGAACGGAATGAAGAAGGGAAATTCGCGACGAGGAGAGAAACGGGTTAGTCGCGGACCACGAGATTCGCGTTGAATCGTCTCAATATTCGTTTGAGAAAATTCTGATCCGGTCGTTTTGCGAGAGAGAAAGAGAGATGGACAAGTTACAACCTGCGCGAGAAGTTTGTTCACGTGGAATTGTGGAATCTCGTCGTCTGAAAAAGAAATGCACACGCGGTAGAAATTGTGAAATATTACCTCAACGAATATTTATCAATTCTAGAATTAATATTTAAATTAATTTTTTTTTATTATTTTTATATCAGAAATTCTCGCGTTTTTTTTTCTCCCCAAAAAGAAAGCGGTTCAAGATTATTTAGCCCACACACAGGGGTAAAAAACTCCCCGCGCTGCTTGTTCTGCGAATTTTACGAATTGTGTCTAATTCCAGGATTCTTCCTTTGAATGTTATGCATTTGTGTTAGGATAAGAGAGAGAAACTCAAAGTTTAAATATCAGAGGCGAAATTTAAAAAGCGGCAAACACTCAGCTTGATGATTGATTATCGGTATTATACAGGGATATATATCGAGCAAGAACCAGAGAAAGGCAATGTACAAATTGATTTCTGTAGATTTTAAAGCAACATTCTCAAGATTACACTTTCTACATAAAGAGCATTAAGAAGCACTATATCAAACGTCAGTTAAAACAATTGTATTCTTTCCTTTTTAACGGAAAACATCGACGACGAAAAGAACGAAAGAAACGCCTTTCGAACAATAAAAGTGCAACGGTTTTCTTGACCAGCTTAACAAAAGGAGGACATCTTTTGTCACGTGTTAACATCGGTCAACGGTCTCACTTTGAACGAGCAATCTCGTCTTTACGCAAGAGACGGCGATCCATTGATTGCGCGTTCACCGCATATACGGTATGCATGATGCGTTTGCGGCGGAGTTGCTTGCGACACGTTTATCCGACACGACGCGATCCTGCATGATACACCTGTGAAGACGGGGGGTTGTTCGAGGAGGAAGGGATGCAGAATCTCAGATCGCGGATCGGCGGAAGTGTGCGGCGAGGGAGCGACCCGTGAGAGAATCGTCCTCTTAGACGCGTGCGAGAGGATAAAGGAAGAGACGTCACCCTCTCTACGGTACGCAGGATGGACAGGAGCGATAACAATGTCGTCGGGGTCGGCGGCGGAAGCGGGAATGGAGGCAGCGGCGGCACCGGCGGCGGCTGTCACGTGGGAAACTCCGGATCCCCGCCAAACTCCATCTCGTCGACCCATGGCACCGTGCTCAATTCTACCGGCGGGCTCGACGGTCAGGTAGAGCATCCCGAGATCTTTAGGCTCGATATCAGGGTTGATATGAATATTCGGAAACTATCGTTTGAATTATTTAAATGAATTTGAATGCGGGTTTCCTGTTTTTCAAAGTACTTGAAGAATACCAAACCATTTGCCGTGATACAAACACACGTTAATAAAATTCCTTAACTTTTTGTTTCATCTTTATTATATATAATATTTGTGTAAAGAATTTAGATATCGAAAAATCTCCAAATTAATTGTAAATAATCACTGATTTATCGCACGTTACATTTGTTTTTATTATCGTGTTACAATAATATGATCTATCAGAGAAAAGAAGCGGAGAGGAATTTGTTGAGATGTAACACTGTTATTCTTTATCATCTATTCGAGTCAGGATGTATGTAGTATCTGATCGAATCATGGGATCACAGAAATAACTTCGCTATTCGAGGGCGATAACTCTGTCATTTGATACCGGGTATTGGATTATCTATCGATCGGCGCTTTCTCGCATAGAAGGGGGGATCTCGTAACACACGTGCTCTTAAGTGAGATTCATAAGCCCATCTGGCTAAATTTATCACGGCGAATTGTACGGAATTCGCGCGCTTTTAACAGCGAAACGCACGCTCGGTTCATTATTCCCTCTTCAACGAAATCCAATTATCGTGGCGGACGGGTGAGTACCCGTGATGATTATCATTAATTCAGTTGGTGTATATTTTGACGAAAACGCGCCACGGGAAAATTGGGGAATACACGAGGCTCTCCGTGGAATGCGGAGTATAATTACTTTATTGTATTATGCTTCCATGTGCGTAGGAAATGAATTATGAGTTTTAATTAAGCGATACCGTCTTCTAATTGCCGGTTAAACGTTATGTCATTATCCGCCCGTATATGCGAATTAAATCTGTTACTCTATTTTTACCGATGCATATCATATTAAATTTTACATTTATTGCAATAAGAATTTAATTTTACTATCGTTTCAATAATTAATTAAGTTGATAATTTTATTAATAATACCATTAAGAAAAAAGATATATAATTTATAAAATATATATATTTGATTTTATCTGTTTAATATTCTTTTTTATCAAGCAAAACTCAAGAATCTTTCGGGATAAAATAGGATCTCCAACTTTCGTTATCGTTATTTACGACAAATACGATAACGTATATTTAAGATTTACCCTTTCAACTAGATCGTTTTGCCATTTGTTGCGCAGGATATATACTTGTCACTAAACATGGTATTATGTGCGTACGTGCGCTCTTCTTCATATTTGCATAATATTATCTTACTGTTAAATATACGATAGAGACAACTGTGCTTATATATCTGTGCTTGGCATAGTTGAAGGATGAGGTAAGAAGATGATGTAAAATGTGTCTTTCGACATAATATTCTTATAATGAATCAATGATAATGTATGTGTCAATTGTGTATCACTATTTGCGCAAACGAGACATCTGCATGATGACGTTGGCATAGAAAATGGCCAGAAGATGGAATACATTATATTATATATATCAATCTTTTTAAAAAATATTTTTATCTTGCTATTATTATTATCTATTATACGTGAAATGTAAGCGCACACATAAGAATTAATTGGAGGGATATAATTAATTAATTTTTGAATGGATTAAAACACTAAACAATTGTCTTTCAAATTACTATATATTTGCGATGATAAAAGAGGAATAACCGCATACAATACGTTTTAACGTTATATATATATATATATATATATATATATATAATAAAATATAAACAATCTCTCTAGATCTAGATAGAGGAAAGCTTGATGATAAAAAATTCTATTATAATGGATTATATAATGATATTGTTTGTCTAATTATTGATGAAATTTTTGCATTTTTGAAGATTATCATAATTTTTTGTCTTTTAGACTGCAGACAGAGGATGGGAGATCCATCACGTTACAGTCACAAGAGTTCCCGGTTACGGCTTTGGTATAGCTGTGTCAGGAGGTCGCGATAATCCTCATTTTACTAATGGTGATCCAGCGATCGCAATCTCCGATGTGCTGAAAGCTGGTCCAGCTGAAGGAAAATTACAGTACGTTTATTGTACAAGTAAAATTAGTTTTTTTTAATGCTTAATACTTAAGAAAGACGAAGCATACACACACACATTTCTTCTCTTTTATATTACATTAAAAACATTTATTTTTCTTATATTACAATAAGTACTTTTAACTTTTGACAAAGTATTATCATTTTGTAGAGAATTAAAAAGAAATATATATCCGCATTTTTGTACTGTTTTTTTAATAGTCTATTTTTTGTTGACTTTCATTGTTTATTTTAATTTTGATATAAGTAAAACTAATATTCGATTTATACAGAGTTAATGACCGTATCATCTCCGCCAATGGGGTATCATTGGAAGGAGCCGATTATGGGGCTGCCGTGCGGGTCCTGCGGGATTCCGGTTCTACCGTTTTGTTGGTTGTTAAACGAAGAGCTTTTTCGAATTCACCCGGTTGCTTAGGCAGCGTTGCATCTCAGAGTCATCGACTCACGCTCACGCGAAACAATAAGAAGGATGGTACGTATAATTAGAACACCGCATAACAGTCGCACGTCGCACAATGACCAAAAATTTGAACAATGTCTGATGTTTAACTGCCGAGACATCTAACTTTGGAGAAGAGAGAGAGAGAGAGAGAGAAAGAATCTAAAACAATTATATTAATTTAACTTATAATTAGAATTTAATTTATAGAATTTAGAACAAATAGTTTAAAATTTTATTAAAAAAGAATTTAATTTAATCAAATTTTTATAATTTATTTTTTTATTTTCCTTTTTTCTCGCATCTTTATTTTTGCTGTAAAACAAGATATGTGACAATGATGTTTTCACGATTTCTAGACTTTGGCATAGTGCTGGGATGTCGATTATACGTAAAGGAGGTTACGCGAGAAAATATCGGAGTGAAAACTGGGGACGTGTTAACCCGAATAGGCAGTGTCGCCGCCGATAATATGAGTCTGAAGGAAGCTAGAAAGCTGATGGACCAGTGCAAAGACAGGCTCTCGATTGTAATTACACGGGACAGCTCATGTTGCCACGTACAGCAGCAAAGTAAAGGGGATAGCGGTGAATATCTGTCGGGTGCGAGTTACAGTAGTCAAAACTTGTACGTTCCGCCACCTACGAGGCAACCCTTGGATGATAAGAGTAATCTTGTGCCGAGGGGTCGTTCGCGGGGTCCGCTGATGGACGTGTCTTTGAGTCAACTGGATCTACCAGCTACGCCCACTGTGGATCCACCCAGGCCACCTCCGCCCAGACCAGAAGGTATGTTTTGAAGATGTTCTAAAATAATGGAAGTTATATAATAAATGAAATTATAAATATATTTGTTTTATTTATATATTATAAATTTTCACTGTTTCTTTGTCAACTAAATTTTGAATCAATTTTTTTTTCTTTATCGAGAAATTTTGTTGAGTGTTATTTTCATTGAAAATTTTATTCGTAATTTTTAATATTATTTATTTTTGTTATTCTATTAAAGTTTTATTAACATACTGTTTTCTTTTATAGATTATTACAGTACGCGCAGACAACTGTACGATGAAGATTCGGTTTCACCTCGAACAAAGCAGCCCATGTAAGTTAATCATAAAGTATCATTCAATTTTTTTAATGGGTCTCTTCTATCTCACATGCAATGTTTCCTTTAATATTTATAGGCCGGATCCTCGATTTATTACTTTTCAAAAGGAAGGATCCGTAGGGGTGCGATTAAGTGGCGGCAATGAAACCGGGGTCTTTGTGACTGCAGTTCAAGCGGGAAGTCCTGCGTCTCTTCAAGGTCTTCAGCCAGGAGATAAAATCTTAAAGGTCAGTTACTCAATTTACATCGAGCATACATCAAAATTTACCCTACATTCAGACAAATTAGACAATGCTTAGAATCCATATTATTGAGAAGTTTAGAAATGATAAAATAAATCAAATATAAGCGAAATCAATATTATCAATAATAGGTCTAATAATATACTTATGTTTTTATCTAAAAACTTATCTTATTGAAATAGTAATAATCCGAATTTAAAAATATTGGAATATATTTTATTGGAGTAAAATGCACACAAGGAGCATATATTTAGATAATAGTTTGCTTAGGACACAAAATTGTACAGATTCTAGAAAAAAATTTGATTTTTACAGATAGATATTGTGATATATAATTACATATGTAAAATTGTTACCACAGATAAACGATATGGATATGAAAGGAGTGACGAGAGAAGAGGCTGTGCTGTTTCTTCTTAGCTTACAAGAACAGATCGATCTTATCGTACAACATCGACGTCAGGAATACGATCAGATCATTGCATCGGGCAGAGGCGATTCCTTTCATATAAAGTAAGTAACATTTATACATGATATATATAAATTACTCTATAATCTTTGAATACTAATTATATTAACAATTATATATATATATA